CCGACTGTGAGGGCGCGGGGAGGGCCTTGGTGTCTTCTGCGCACACGCTGGCGCCGGGTCGGGGCTGAGCCGTGGACGGTTTCCCCAACTCGGGCCCCTTCCCCGCCATGGGCGGCTGCCACGCCTCTTCTCTCCTCATCTCCCCTCAGATCTTCCCGTATTGTTAGGGAGGTGAGCGTTTTCGCCTCACAAAGTTGTGGCGCCGCGGCGGTGGACTGTAGGGCGCTAGGGGAGGCACCGGGTGGCACTTTCTGGTCGCCTGGAGGCTTCTGGGCGGGTCTGGAGATCCCCGCCTCCGGCCACATCACCCCTGGCGACTAAGAGGGCATGGCCACGCCGGGGTGCTGTGCGAGAGGCCCGGTGGGGGATACAATGGTGCGGACTCTGAGGCGGGGTCGGAAATTCAGAACCTTCCGTCATCTTTGCGGAATGGCTGCCATATCCCCTGCAAACTCACCACGTTGTGAATTCCAAAAGCAAAGAGAAAGGACCATGTGGGCGCAGATGTCCACGTGGAACAAGGGGCGGATCCAAGAACGGACAGACATTAAGCGTGACCAAAGGGCTGGCTGTATGTGTATAGGCTTTTAGAGGTGGGACAGAAAAAAAAAAGTATTGAGAATGCTCTATAAGGGATTTTGATCTATTTTAAACCATTCTTTATGGAACAAAATACTGTATGGCAGGATAGAATTGACTAGGGAAATAATAGAATTGGATCCTAAGAGGAAATGAGAGATTGAACTATGCTCATCAGTGAAAAAAAAATGGCAAAGGAAAAGAGAAGATGATTATTAACTGGCAACCCACAAGAATGTAGAGATGACTTTGAGATCTGTATGCTGGTGGAAGATTAGACATTCCTCTCAGGATTACAAGCAAACAGAAGTTAAGAGAGATTCAGCTTTATGTAGATGATGTTTGGAATGCTGTTGGGGGACATTAGCAAAGATGTGATCTCTGCTCCAAAGAAATTATAGGCTAGCAGAGGTTGCAGATTGTGGAGTAGCAACTTAAACTGCTACTTGGGATGCGCAGCTCCACCACTTAGGGTCCAGTTTCCAGAAATTGAGCCCAGAGGGCAGCAGGATATGTACTTGGGTCCCTGTCACCCGTGTGGAGTCACAGGTGGAAATCCTGCTTGGGGCCAGTCCCAGCTATTGTGGCCATGGAGAGGGAGGAGTGAGCCAGCCAACTGAAGGTGTGTGTGCTTTCCTGTCTCCCTCTGTAAGGTTCAACTAGCAAAAGACTTTAGTAGATGTTTCTCTAGAGAAGTTCTACAATTGGAAATTTAGCACATGGAAAACACAACACCACATATCTTTACAGAAGCAAATCTAAACCATAGTAAGATACCACTTAACATTTCTTAGCATGGCCACCATTAAGAAGACAAAAATAGGGCCTGGTGCAGTAGTCTAGCAGCTAAAGTCTTCACCTTGCATGCACTAGATTCCTATAGGGTGCTGGTTCTAATCCCGGCAGCTCCACTTCCCATCCAGCTCCCTGCTTGTGGCTTGGGAAAGCATTTGAGGACACCCCAAAGTCTTGGGACCCTGCACTCAATCAGGAAGACCTGGAAGAGGCTCCGGGCTTCAGATTTCCTCAGCTCCAGCTGTTGCAACCATATCTGCCTTCCCAATAAAATAAAAATAAATATATCTTTAAAAATAAATAGATAAATGGTGGTAGAAATATGCAGAAATTAGAAACCTTGTGTCCTGGCTGAGGAATGTAAAATGGCACAGCTGCTGTGCAGAACAATATGTCAGTTCCTCAAAAAGTTAGAAATAGAATTACTAAATGTTCAAACTTGTGGGTATATTCCCAAAGGAATTAAAAGCAAGTCTTTTTTTTTCTTTTTAAGGTTTATTTTTATTGGAAGGTCGGTGTTGAGCCAGTCTGAAGCCAGGAGCCATGAGTTTCTTCGGGTTTCCCACATGGGTGCAGGGTCCCAAGGCTTTGGGCTGTCTTCAACTGCTTTCCTAGGCCACAAGCAAAGAGCTGGATGGGAAGTTAGACAGCTGGGACACCAACAGTGCCTACATGGAATCCCAGCGCTTAGAAGGTCAGAATTTAGCCACTAGGCTTTTTGGGCCCATGATTTTTTTTTTTTCCTTAAATTAAGCTTGTGTTAAGATTTATTTTTATTTTGGGGCCTTGGCACTATCACGCCAGGCCCAATAAATACCTTTTTAAAAAAAATCTGAAAGGGCCCAGCACGATAGCATAGCACTTAAGGCCCTCGCCTTGAAAACACCAGGATCCCATATGGGCGCCGGTTCTAATCCCAGCAGTTCCACTTCCCATTCAGCTTCCTGCTTGTGGCCTGGGAAAGCAGTTGAGGACGGCCCAGAGCATTGAGACCCCTCACCTGCGTGGGAGACCCGGAAGGGAGTTCCTGACTTCTGGCTCCTGGCTTCGGATTGCCTCAGCACTGACTGTTACAGTCACTTGGAGAATGAACTAGTGAGTGGAAGATCTTTCCTTTCTGTCTCTCCTTTACTGTGTAAATCTGACTTTCCAATAAAAATAAGTCTTTAAAAAAAGAAAAGAAAATCTGAAGGTACCACCTATAATGCCAGCATCTCAGATGAGTGACAGTTCAGTTTCACCCTGTACCACTTCTGATCCGGCTTCCTGCACCTGGGAAAGTAGTAAAAGACAGCTCAAGTCTTTGGACTTTTAGTTCCTTGCCACCACTGAGAGACCTGGATGAAGCTTCTGTCTTCTGGCTTCAACAGCCTTCTGGCCAGTGAATGAGTAGTTTGAAAATCTCTGACTCTCCTTCTCTCTTTTGTAACTCTCTCAAATAATTTAATAAATCTTGAATAAAGAAAAAACATGCGGAAGTCATAGGCATGCTGTATAGTGGATAAGACACTGGAGTGTTTGCATCCCATAACAGAATGCCTGGTTAAAGTCCCAGCTATGTTTCCACACTGGCTCTCAGCCAAAAGACAGAGAAGTGATCACAGCTTCGTTTCCACCCAGCTACATGCTAATGTATTCTCTGGAAGGCAACAGGGGTAGCTTTGGTACTTGTGTCTCAGTCACCCATGCCAGAAGTCTGGATTGGGTTCTTGCTTCTGGCTTTGGCCCAGTCAAGATGTTGCAGGCATTCAGGGAGCAAACTAGTATAAGGGAGATCTCTGTCCCTGCCTGCCTTTCCAATGAAAGCTGGTAACAATGTATGAAAGCATATCTAATATCATAAGCCAGCCAGTGGGAGTTTGGCAGGACTTTTGAATATGGACTGTAATTCTTACATTAAGCACTAGAGGTCAGCAAGAACATTAATTACTGTATTTCCCTATTGGATTTGCAGGTCTTCTGTGAATAATCCACAACATAAGCAGTTCACTTATTTTTTTTTTTTTCCTTTTCTTCTCCTTTTTTTTTTTAAAGTTTCAGAAGGAGAAGAGACCTCTACAGGGGATGGCTAGGGCTGGGACAGAGCCCTAGATACATTATTGCTATGAGGGTAGCAAAAATCTAACCTCTTGATCCATTATGGCTGATTTCCAGGATCTGCATTGGCAGGAAACAGGAGTCAGGAGCAATAGGCAGGCAACCAATGCAAGTGTTCTGTTCTGGGATGCAGAAATCCAGCCAGTGTCTTAGGTGCTAGGCCAAACACAATTCCTACCATTTCTTGTCAAATTGACACAGTCTTTTTTTTGTTTTCAGATTTATTTATTTTTATTGGAAAGTCAGATATACAGAGAGGAGGAGAGACAGAGAGGAAGATCTTCGTTTGATGGTTCACTTCCTAATTGACTGCAGTGGGCGGTGCTGTGCTGATCAGACGCCAAGATCCAGAAACTTCATCCTGGTCTCCCATGCAGGTGCAGGATCCCAAGGCTTTGGGCCGTCCTCAACTGCTTTCCCAGGCCACAAGCAGGGAGCTGGAAGGGAAGCAGGGCTGCTGGGATTAGAACTGGCGCCCATAGGGGATCCTGGTGTTTTCAAGACGAGGAATTTAGCTGCTAGGCCACGACGCTGGGCTCCCCCTCCATCACTCTTTCAAATACACAAATCCATCTTAAACTAAATAGCCTTTCCTCATTACTGTAGAACACACTTTAATGATCTATTAGATTGGAGTAGCGAAGCTAGCATTGTGGTGCAGTAAGTTAAGCTGCCAGCATTCCATAAGCATGAGTTCCAGTCCTAGGTGTTCCGCTTATCTGCTAATGAGCCCAGCAAAGCAGTGCAGGGCATGGATGGCGTTCTTGGCTCCTGGCTTCTCCTTGGTCCAGACCTGCCTATTGTAGTCTTCAAGGGTTGGGGACTGGTGGTGAGGGTAAATGAGGAGAGGGAAGTTTTAACTCTGCCTTTCAAATGAATATTAAACAGAACAGGTCCTCTTCTTAGACACATCTGCGAATACGATCCGGTTTCACACGTATTTTATGTGCACATACAAAAATAGTAGTCAGAAGGGAAGATCTAGGAGTTTGCCCCACAATGCAAAGGCCGGGATGCAGGAATGCACACCGCGTGGCCGGGAAGGCCCCGGGAGGAGTACCACGAGGTGTGCAGAGCGTTGGAGAAACCTGGGCGACCGACAGGATGGGGGCGCAGCAGCACCGTGCCCAAGTTCCAAGGTCCTTTTGAGCCCAAGGCTTTCTCCCTGCGTGGGGCGTGGGAGTGGGGGCAAATCACAGGACAGACCCTCGCCAGGGCTGCACAGCAGTCGGGACACTGCACAGACCCTCGCCACGGACGCACACCAGTCGGGTCGCAGGAACCCCAGTGCAGGGGCAGGGGCGGGCCGAGGCAGAGCTCACAGAAGGGTTGGCAGGCGCGGCGGAAGGGGCGGGTGCAGGAGCCGGCGGCTGGCGGGGCACTGCGCAAGCGCGCGCGTGCTCGCGGCGGTTACGGCGTCGGCGGCCGACTCGGGGCGGGGTTGCGCTTCGGCGCCGGAAAGGGGTTGGCTGTGCGGGACTGAGACGCGTTGTCGGTGGTGGTGGGTGGCGGTGCTGGTGGTGGGTGGCGCGGCGGTGGTGGTGGCGGCGGCGGCGGCGGTAACAGCTGCGCGCAGGCGCGGGTGCGAACGGGAAACGCTGCAAGGGCCGAGCCGGGCCGGACGGTGGGGACGACGGAAGGCGACCATGGCCGCGACGGCAAGTGGTGGCGGGCCCGGGGCGGCAGCAGGCGGCGCGGGCGCTGGGGGAACTGCGGCGGCCGCCTCGGGACTAGCGGTTTATCGGCGGAAGGACGGGGGTCCGGCCAGCAAGTTCTGGGAGAGCCCGGAGACGGTGTCCCAGCTGGATTCGGTTCGCGTTTGGCTGGGCAAGCACTACAAGAAGGTGGGTTCGCGCGTCCCCCGTGGGGACCGGGGAGGTCGCGCGGCCGTGAGGGACGGAGTGGGCGGGCGGGCAGCTTCGCGGGTCCGGGGCCGCCCCTCCTCCGCTTCCTCCTCCAGTCCCCCCCGCGCGCGCGCGCGCCACGAGGGACAACAAAGGCCGGGGCCACCACGCCCCCGCGCCTCGGCCGCCCGGGGTCCCGCGCGCGCTCGGGACGGAAGCTCCCGCGGGCCTCGGGGCGCTGCGGCGCTGGGCGGCAGCATCTTTTGTTGAGCGGCTTCAGGTGTATGAACAATGACCTCCTCCGTCTCCCCGCTCGGCACCAAGCCGGTCCTCCTCAGGGCAGCTCAGGCTCGCTGATTGTGGCGTAGAACTCGGTGGAAACATGTCGGTTTTTCATAGTACTTGTGTGTGGTAACGCTGTGGGTTCGAGTGTGGGTTCCCTGGTGGTCTCTGAAGCTTGGCCTTCTCGGGGAGCCACCTCTACAGTGGGGCATGCTACTAAATGTCACCTTTGATTTCCTCTTGACGTTTTTGTTGTTGGCTTTGTGTCTTCCTTTTTTGCAGTTAAATTCTATCAAGTCATGGGTTTTCGAAGTTGTGACTTAACCCCTTGTATTTGTTTCTTTAAACCCTTTAATTTTACACTTTATGTAAATATTCAGAAATGACTGCCTTATAAGGTTGAGGAAACCCAGCTTGCAAACTTTTCTTTTTGCCCACTATCCTCTCAGTGTTTCCCCTCAGGGAGGACCCCACTGTGGTCAGGCCTGGTCACTGGCACTTGGTGCCTGGCCCTTAGTAGGTCCTGCGTGCATACTCTAAATTGGATGAAAGGGTATGTGGATCTAGGAACCTGTTTGGGGCCTGGAACTCCAGGAAGCCCGCCAGTTCCAACAGCTCTTAGGTGAGCACAGGTTCCTTCTGACCCTACACTGTTGGGTTTTCTGTTCTGAAATTGGAGGAAGTGAGAAATTATGGGTTACATTTTTAGATACCTTTACCTACTCCCCCATCTCCCTAAGTCAAATTTGGGACTAAATTTTTTTTTTTTCTTTTCTACAATGCCATCCATACAGCTTTAGGAAATGGCTCATGTGTTACAAAGATGTCATCATTTTTTTTTAACATAATAATCTCTCATCCAATTCTTTGGGTGTTCACTTTAAGGAAGATGTGACAGGAAAAAAAATAACCAGGAATCGTATTCCTTCGAATAACAAGAAAGACTGGAAAAAAGTAAATGGAAGTTATTCTGACCTCTGCAGGTGCTTAGAGGATTCATCTTGGTGAAACTGGAAGAGGCAGCATCGGACTTGAGTACCCCTTCAGAGGTCTAGGTGGTTGGGAAAGTGGCTGTGGGTCTCATTGGCCGTGGGTAGGCCATGGGGACACACTATCCTGTGGCTTTCCAGACAAAGTCAGGGTTGGTTTGACTTCAGACCTTCATAGAGCCAGAGTATTCCTTGAGCCTCCTGAGCTTCAGAAGGGTAGCTAGCCCTTAGGCTTGACCGCCTCTGGGAGTCCTGGTCAAGGACAGTTCCTTATTACACCCCATGTTTCTGCTCAATGTGTGTATTGATGGGTGTTGCCTTTACTACTCCATTCTCAGAGTAGCAGCCAGTTTGAGTGTTAGCAGCCATATGAAATAAATGAAATTGTTGAGCCTGTTTTTGTCGATGGCTTGTCCATGTATTCAGTGAACAGCTGAGAATCTGCTATATGCCAAGCGCTTAAAACAACTCAAAATCCTCGTGGCTCAGTGGCTCAAGTCTCACCTTGGCAAGCACCAGGATCCCATATTGGGCATTGGTTTAAGCCAGGAACCAAGAGCTTCCTCTAACTCTCATGTGGTTGCAGGGTCCCAAGGCTTTGGGCCATCCTCTACTGCTTTCTCAGGTCACAGTAAAGCTGTTGGATAGGAAGTAGAGCAGCCAGGACATGAACCAGCTCATTCAGGAAGGTTTTGCCACTAGGCTATCGTGCCAGGACCAAAAATAATATCTTGTTTTTTTAAAAAAAGATTTATTTATTTTTATTGCGAAGTCATACAGAGAGGAGGAGAGACAGAGAGGAAGATCTTCCGACCGATGATTCACTCCCCAAGTGACTGCAATTGCCGGTTCTGTGCCGATCCATCGCCAGGAGCCAGGAACTTCTTCCAGGTCTCCCACATGGGTGCAGGATCCCAAAGTTTTGGGCCATCCTCGACTGCTTTCCCAGGCCACAACAGGGAGCTGGATGGGAAGTGGGGCTTCTGGGATTAGATGCCAGGCTCAAAAATAAAATCTTAAAAAATCCTTAGGACCTTGCACTGTAGCCTAGTGGCTAAAATACTTGCCTTGCACATGCTGGGATCCTGTATGCTGGTTCATATCCCAGCTACTCTGCTTCCCATCCAGCTCCCTGCCTGTGGCCTGGGAGAGCAGTCGAGGACGGCCCAAGTCCTGGAGACCATGTACCCACTTTGGAGACCTGGAAGCAGCTCCTAGCTGCAGGTTTTGTTTTGGCTTAGTTCCAGCCATTGCTGCTACTGGGAGCGTGAACCAGCAAAGTGAACAAATCTTTTTATGTATTTATTTGTGAACAAATCTTAAAAATTCTCATAGTGGTACTGTATAGTAGTTATCAGTTATATGGTTATAGGATTGGCCAGGAGGGTATTCACGCGCTGTCTGGGATGCTAAAGTCCGGCTGTTTAACTTTGCATACTCCCTCAGAGGAGCTTGCCTAGATCTGCTGGAGAAGATGGTTACTATCTGTGAAACATAGGTGATTTGAAAATGAAAGAGAACCTCTTTGTTGTCTCAACTTCGGAACATCCTTAGGAGGTGCTCGGTAACTCTGTTGGAGGGATGAAAAGATTAACTATCCTAGGAACCCATTCATTTGGGCTGAAGTGGGGGCTGTTCTGTCTGTTGGTCCCCAAAGGATCATCAAAATTTGGCCTGGCTTTGCCAAGGCTGCTACTGCTAGGACTAGAAATTTGCTATATACCAGTCTAATTTTTAACCAGATAATTTTGTATGGTCTGGAAAACATATGTATCTTTTAAATACTGACTTAATTTTGTTGGAAAGGCATATTTACAAAGAGATTGAGAGACAAAGAAAGATCTTCCGTCTGCTGGTTCATGCTTCAAATGGCTGCAATGGGTGGAGCTGAACCGATCTGAAGCCAAGAACCAGAAGCTTCTGTTTTCTCATGTGGTTGCAGGGTCCTAAGGTTTTGGACATCCTCCACTGCTTTCCCAGGTCATAAGTGGGGAACTGGTTGGGAAGTGTCGGATTCAAACCAACACTCAAATGGTATGCTGGTGCTATAGGAAGAGACTTAACTTGCTAAGCCATGACATTGTCCTGCTGCAACTTCAGTTTCTCTATCAATAAATAGACAGTGGGGATCAGTACTGTAGCATAGCAGGTGCCCCAGCCGCCTAACCTTGACCAGAAACTGCATTCCCATTGCAGACATTTTTAAGTGGCTATGCATGTATTTGTTTTTGTAAGCTCCTTAGAGCAGCAAACACGTCTTACTGGTCTAGAATCTGCTCTGATGTAATGGCAGTGCTTGCTACATGCTAGGGTGTAAGGTAACAATCTCTCCTGCAGTACTTGTGCCATTTTTTTAAATCTGTCTCTTTTATCTTACAGTATGTTCATGCAGACGCTCCTACCAATAAAACGCTGGCTGGGCTGGTGGTGCAGCTTCTCCAGTTCCAGGAAGATGCTTTTGGAAAGCATGTCACCAATCCGGCCTTCACCAAACTTCCTGTAAGTACATCAGCTTGTGGTAATACTGGGACGTTTTAAGTTTCTGTAAGCAGTCAGTAGTTGTTTTCCTTTCTGTGACTAGCATGTGAATTTTAAGAAAAGGAACCTCAACAGAATTTCAGCTGTAGAGAATACTACTATTTTAAAGAAAATTTAAAATGTTTTTAAAAAGTTTGAGAAGCAGAGACATATGACTCCCATCTGCAGAAACTGAGAAAAAAGAACTCAGTCCTCATTTCCTGTGTGTCTGAGAGGAGCCTAGTTCCTGGAGTGCACCAGTGCCTCCCATTGGCAGGAATGTGCAAGCAGGCTCAGGGACCAGAGCTGGATATGGACCTCTGCCTGCAGCACCAGCATCCCATTTGGGTTGTGGTTTGAGTCTTGACTCTTACACCTCCTATCCAGGAGAGGAACATCTTCCATCAACTGGTTCACTCCCTCCAATGCCTATCACAGTTGGAGTGAGGAGTCTCTTTTGGGTCTCTTACCCTTGTGGGTGTAGGGGCCCAAGGACTTGGGACATCCTCTGCTGCTTTCCCAGGCACATTAGCAGGCAGTTGGATGGGAAGTGGAGCAGTGGGATACAAAGCAAAGCCCATATGGGTTGCCAGTGTTACAGGCATAGGCCTGATATTGTGTTCCAGCTGTAGACAAGAAGATTTTTTAATTCTAAAAAGTATTTATTTTTATTTGAAAGGCAGTGCTATGAAGAAAGAAAGACAGTCTATTTGCTGGTTCATTTCCCAAATGGCCACATGGCCGTAGCTGTGACTGTCTAAAGTCAGGAGCCCAGAGCCTCTTTCGTATCTCCGGTGTGGATGCAGGTGCCTGAACATGTATGTGGGCCATCCTCCACAAAAATGGAGTATCTGGAGCTTGAACTGGCACTATATGAGATGCTAGCTTTGAGGGTAGTTGCTTTTACCTGCTGTACTACCATGATGGCCAGAATTTGTTGTTATTTTAATTCCTGATAATTTATGCTACACCTCTTATCCCTGTTCTCGTTTCTCATTCAAGTGTTGTGGCTAGGGGGCTATTTGTTTGGACTTTCCGTATTTTGTATATAAAATACCTTGTGATTTCATGTGAAAATACATGAGGTTGGGCCTGACACAATAGCCTAATGGCTGAATGCTAGCCTTGCTTTGACAAGGATCCCACATGGGCTTTGGTTTGTATCCTGACAGCTCTACTTCCCATCCAGCTCCCTGCTTGTGGCCTGGGAAAGCAGTCGAGGACGGCCCAAAGCCTTTGGACCCTGCACCCATGTGGGAGACCAGGAAGAAGCTTCTGTAAATCTGCCTTTCCAATAAAAGTAAAAAAAGTGTTAGTTTTTTTTTTAAGATTTATTTGTTTTTTTTTATAAAGATTTATTTTTATTATTTTTTATTGGAAAGGCGGATATACAGAGAGGAGATACAGAGAGGAAGACCTTCCATCCGATGATTCACTCCCCAAGTGAGCGCAACGGGCCGATACCGTGCCGATCCGAAGCCAGGAGCCTCTCCCGGGTCTCCCACGCGGGTGCAGGGTCCCGAAGCAAGATTTATTTGTTTTTATTGGAACATGAGATATGTAGAGAGGAAGAGATACGGAGAGGAAGATCTTCTGTCCAATGATTCACTCCCCAAGTGGCCGCAGTGGCCAGAGCTCAGCTGACGTGAAGCCAGGAGCCAGAAGCTTCTTCTAGGTGTCCCATGCATGTGCCAGTCCCAAAACTTTGGCTCATCCTTGACTGCTTTCCCAGTCCCCAGGCAGGAAGCTCAATGGGAAGTGGAGCTGGTGGGGTATTAACCAGCGCCCATGTGGGATCCTGGCGTGTGCAAGGCAAGGACTTCAGCTGCTAGTTTACTACGCCAGGCCCCTGTCAGGATATTTTCTACAGTTTCACTGGGAGTCCATTTTTGGTCTGGATGCAGAGAGACAGACTTACTGCACTATATCTCCACATCAAAACATGTAAGTCTCTAGTGCACTTACACATCCACCTAATTCTACCACAGGGAGAAAACTGGAAAGTTTTTATCAACATTAAGTTAAAGAGCGTGCTGCAAAAATAGCAATGCATTGCTAAAATGATGAAAAAGAAAAGAAAAAGAAAAATTTAAACTGAAGTAATGCAGAAGTAAGCCTTCTTCAGTTTCTGGAGACCAGGTGTTTTGGGGAAGGGCCCTGGACCATGAGCCAGATGTTTGTGCCCTAGCTTTTCATTTTGTGAAAATGTGTTCCTGTTCTGATCACTTGGGGTCATTTTGAAAATTGCAAAGTATGAAAGAAAACTTAAGCAGTACTTAGAAATTGTAGAGATTTAATGTTTTGCTTTAATGCATGACAGGTTGCTGGCTTCTCCTGGTTGTTGAAAATTTTTTCTTGCAAATGTATGTTGCATACAGATTATTTCAACACTGGGTGGTCTTCACCTCTGATGCTTAGAGGAGACCACAAAGAGTTATGTTTTTTTCACAGGTGCGTGTGAGAGACTTTTCAGTAGATGGTGTGGCAGTAGTGAAGACCAGCCATTTTGGTGCTCTTTTAATTGAAGTCCAATTTTATCAGAACAGGTGTTCCTCCTCCCAGGATCAGCCTTAGAGAACTTCACTCAGCATCCTGAGCTAGCACTTGAATTTATGCAGCAGGAACCTAGATGTTCCATTACAGGGAGGAGGCTGAATGCTGGCTCTCAGGACCAATTTTTGTTAAATTGCCATGGGTTTCCTAGTAAATGTTGGTGTTATGTTCCAAACCCCAGTTATCTTGAGGTGGGAGGTATTTTTCTTGCTTCGTTATTGGTAGATGCTTTTTGTCTAACCCATTGCCTCCCTAATGGGTGCCTCCCAGGAGACTGGGCCTCCTGGCCATATGGCTGGTGGTCGTCCCAGTGTGCACTGATCTCCCTTGCTCTGGTTCCGGCTCTGATTCCTTTCCCGTGTATACGTACAGCCCACCTCTAGGTTATCTGGGCCGATTACATTTCTTCTGCTTTGCATATTTCCACCTCATCATCTGAGTGCTGCAGTGTTGACCTCAGAAGGTTACTAGTTTTGACATTTTCCCCAGCTTTGATTTTTTTTTTTTTTGTACTTGACTTATTTGTATATACTTTCTTTCTAGGAATTTGACTTCTCATTTACAATAGTGTTAGGTTCCTTGATATAAGTGTTTATAAGATTTTCTGGTTGTTGCCATAATGCTGGAGTCAGCAGTATTTTTCTTTTCTGTAAAATGGGGTTAAGGAGATGGCATTGAGGCATATTGGGCTACAGCCTGCGAGGCCACTTCCAGTCCAGCTCCTTACTGATATGACTAGGACAGTTGCAGACAATGTCCCAAATATTTGGGCCCCTGTTACCCACATGGGAGACCTAGAAGAAGCTCCTGCCTTCCAACTTGCACAACTCAGTAGTTGTGGCCATTTTGGGGAGTGAGCCAGTGGATGGAAGGTCTCTATTATTTTTTCTGTGTAACTGCCTTTCAGTATATAATTGTTTAAAAAAAGTATGTGTGTGAGTGAAAAGAATCATCTGTGTAAGGTTGTTAGGAATGAATGTAATAGTGTAAAGTGGAAATGATAAGTTCTCATAAAGTATCTGCAACAGTAGTTTTTGTCTTCTCCAGGAGTGAAACTATTATAGCAGTGATGGCCTCTGTCAATAGAGTGCTCATTGTAAGACTTTGTTAACTTTAGTGTTATGTGTTTGGTCTAACAGTAAAGATGCCATTGGAGAGGTCTGGCCACCACTTTAGGGGATCTATGTGCAGATTCCAACTCTGGGGTTTTACACACACACACACACACACACACACACTCTCCTACCTTTCCCCTGATTTACCCCCAAAATGTCTACAATAGCCTGGGGTGGCCAGGCCAAAGACAGGATTCAGGAAATTCATACCTGTCTCCCATGTGAGTAGGAGGGGCCCAAGCACTTGGACTGTCTTCCACTGCTTTTCCACACATCCCTGCAGGTAGGCAGATCCGAGGTAGAGCAGCTGGAACTTGAATTTGTACTCGTGGGATGGAGGCTGTGCAGTAGGTAACTCAATCCCTTATACCGCAGTGCTGGCCTACCAGCTTTGCTTTAGATTCCAGCTACCTGCTAATGTGTACTCTGGGAAAACAGCAAGTGATAACTCACGTTAATATGGGAAAATTCCTGGATTTGTGAGCAGTTAGAAAATGAATCAGTGGGGCCAACACCATGATTCAGTGGGCTAATCCTCTACCTTCAAGTGCTGGCCTCCCATGTGGGCACTGGTTTATGTCCTGGCTGTTCCACTTCCTTCTTTTTTATTTTTTAGATTTATTTTTATTGGAAAGTTAGATATATAGAGAGGAACCACAGGAAGATCTTCCATCTGCTGATTCACTCTCCATGTGGCTGTAGTAGTCAGAGCTGAGCCAATCTGAAGCCCAGAGTCAGTAGCTGCTTTTTTAAAAAAAGATTTATTTTTTTATTACAAAGTCAGATATACAGAGAGGAGGAGAGACAGAGAGAGAGGAAGATCTTCTGTCTGATGGTTCACTCCCCAAGTGACCACAACAGCCAGTGCTGCGCTGATCCGAAGCAAAGAGCCAAAAACTTCTTCCAGGTCTCCCACAGGTCCCAAGGTTTTGGGCTGTCCTCGACTGCTTTCCCAGGCCACAAGCAGGGAGCTGGATGGGAAGTGGAGCTGCTGGGATTAGAACCTGCACCCATATGGGATCCCGGCGTGTTCAAGGCGAGGACGTTATTCACTAGGCCACGCCACTGGACCCAGAAGGACATTTTAAATCCAGTTTTACTTTTTTATTGATGAAAGTGTTTTAGAAGATTTAGTACTTCATCAGTTGTTTATTGTCAGGACCCATTTTCTCATCTATTATTTGTATCATTTTTAGGCTAAGTGTTTCATGGATTTCAAAGCTGGAGGTACCTTGTGTCACATTCTTGGGGCTGCTTACAAATATAAAAATGAGCAGGGATGGTAAGTTTTGTATTTCTTTGCCTATTTTAGCATGATGTTAAATATTGTTTCTTTGTATGCTGTTAGAAAGTTCTGAATTACAACTTGATTAAGGGCACATTATGTTGTATTTTGTGAAAAGCACTAATTTACTTTATTCCTGTATACAAGAAGGATACCAAAAGTGATTATGTTCACTGGGCAAGTTTTCTTTACATATGATTACAGATAGATAGCAGATATGGTGTGCATTAGCAGGTAGTTGCGAGGTTCATCATGAAATTTTCAGTGTGTTTATGAGCTGTAATGTGCATTTTATATTAAGTTGATAAGCTTGTGTAGTGTTGTGTTGAAATAGGTCTTCCAGAATCATCCAGTTTACGATCTTTAGGACACACACAAGACAGGAGTGTTTCTCAGGGAATAGTCTTTGTGTCTGTGGTGATAACATTGAAATGCCTGCTGTTCTTCTCCCATTCTTTTGCCTTTGCTCTTCCTCTTTCATGTTTTGACCTCAGCTCTTCTGGTGCTATTTTTCTTTCTTGAACTCTGTGGCTTCCATCCTAATGTGCTAAGATTTGATGGGGAACTAGTGGATATTTGCTGATAGTGATTCTGAGTCCACTGTGGTTAGGGAACTGTATCCCCGGCAGGGGGTGGTTAGAGCTGTTGCCTGTGGAATGGCCAGGATTAGAACCAGTGCCCCATTGCAGACTTCCTCATTGGCAACCCAACACTCTGTGTCATAAAAGCTGATTCTCTGCTGAAGTTCTGCAGTTGATCCTCACTCTTGAGATTGCATTTCTTGTAGGGAGTTGGCAACCTGTCATAGTTGGTTAGGCCCCTGGCGCTCACCTGCATCCCATAAAGGTGCTGGTTCCAGTTTTGGCTGTTCCACTTCTGATCTAACTCCTTACTTAGAGCCTGGGAAAGCTGTGAGAATGGCTCAAGTTCTTGGACCCTTCTACCCATGTGGGAGACCAAGAAGAAGCTGCTGGCTCCCAGCCTCAGACTAGCTCAGCTCCATCTTTTCTGCTCATTTGGGGATAGAGCTACAGATGAAAGATTTCTCTCTGTTCTTTCTCTCTGAAACTCTGCCTTTCAAATAAGAATAAGTAATTAGGGGAAAGAAAAAGAGAAAACATTGTATCTGGTTGTGCACCAAGGTTTGCTGATTTCTTCATTTTGGTTCATCCAACATGCTTCCTAATTTCATTCTTTTCTTAAAGATTTATCTTTTTTTTTTTATTGGCAAGTGAGATATACAGAGAGGAGGAGAGACAGAGAGGAAGATCTTCTGTCTTATGATTCACTCCCCAAGTGACCACAACTGCTGGTATTGCGCCAATCCAAAACCGGGAGCCAGGAGCTCTTCCAGGTCTCCCACTTGGGTGCAGGGTCCCAAGGCCTTGGGCCGTCCTTGACTGCTTTCCCAGGCCACAAGCAGGAGGCTGGATGGGAAGTGGAGCTGCCGGGATTAGAACTGGCGAGCTATGTGATTCTGGCATGCTGAAGGTGAGAACATTGACTAGTACATTATTGCGCCATGCCCAAAGATTTATTTATTTTTATTACAAAGTCAGATATGCTTCCGCCCAATGATTCACCCCCCAAGTAACTGCAGCATCCATTGTTGCACCGATCTGAAGCTTGGAGCCAGGAGCTCTGCCAGGTCTCCCATGTGGGAGCAGAGTGCCAAGGCTTGGGCCATCCTTAACTGCTTTCCCAAGCTACAGGCAGGGAGATGGATGGGAAGTGGGTTGACAGGGATTAGAACCAGTGGGATCCTGGCACATTCAAGGCAAGGACTTAGGCTGCTAGGCCACTGCCCTGGGCCCAGCCAGCTATTTCTTATTGTTAGATTCATACAGGTAGTTGAACACAGTTTTTTTTTTTTTTTTAATTTATTTATTTATTGGAATGTCAGATATACAGAGAGGAGGAGAGACAGAGAGGAAGATCTTCCATCCGATGATTCACTCCCCAAGTGAGCACAACGGCCGATGCTGTGCCAATCCGAAGCCAGGATCCAGGAACCTCTTCCGGGTCTCCCACATGGGTGCAGGGTCCCAAAGCTTTGGGTTGTCCTCGACTGCTTTCCCAGGCCACAAGCAGGGAGCTGGATGGGAAGTGGAGCTGCTGGGATTAGAACCGGCGCCCATATGGGATCCAGGCGCATTCAAGGCGAGGACTTAGCCGCTAGGCCACGCCACCGGGCCCCCAGATACTCATTTGTTTTGAATTCTTAGACTAAGTTTTCACTTGTGTTTTATAGGAAACAGTTTATGATGGTTTTTTTTTTCTATTTTAGGCGACGATTTGACCTACAGAATCCATCTCGAATGGATCGTAATGTGGAAATGTTTATGAACATTGAGAAAACATTGGTGCAGGTAACTCAGTTATTAGTTTTTTTTTTTCATCAATTTGCTTTCAGCTCCAAGATTGTTTTAATTAGGTTGCCAAAAGATCAAAGTGAGTACAGTATTTTAATTGTTTCAATCTCTTAATGAGTTAGTATATGGGTATTAGACCGATGATTAATCTTGTCATTTTAAGATGATTTTAAATTTGAAGAAATTATTATTACTTTTGTTAAATCTATTATTTGAATTGCCTTCAGTCCTTCAAGTGACTGCAACAGCTGGTTCTGTGCCGATCCAAAGCCGGGAGCCAAGAACTTCCTCCAGGTCTCCCACACGGGTGCAGGATCCCAAGACTGGGCCGTCCTCGACTACTTCCCAGGCCATAAGCAGGGAGTGGATGGAAAGTGGGGCTGCTGGGACTAGAACTGGTGCCCATATGGGATCATTGGGTGTTCAAGGCAAGAACTTCACCATATCGCCCCCCCCCCTTTTTTTTAAAGATTCATTTATTTTTTTGCAAGTGTGGGAGAGAAAGTAATGCAGAATCTTTCATCTAGACATGGACTTCCTAAATGGCCGCAGAGCTGGCCTGCACCAGGCAGAAGCGTGGAGCTAACTCTGTTCGGGTCTCCTGTGGATGTTAGGAGTCTGAGCATTTGCCTTCCTGTGCTTTCTTAGCTACATTATCAGGGAACTGGAAGGTGAGCAGAGCAACTGGGACTCATTCCAGAACCCATGTGGGATGTAGCATTTCCTACTAGCATCCCTACCTGCTACACCACAATTTTACCCACATGCCACTCTTAAGAATAGAAGTGGGGCCTGGCGCCATAACCTAGTGGCTCGGGTCCTCGCCCTACATGCAGCATGATCCCATATGGGTGCCAGGTCTAATCCTGACTGCTCCACTTCCCATCCAGCTCTCTGCTTGTGGCCTGGGAAAGTAGTAAGGAATGGCCCATAGCCTTGGGACCTTGTGCCAGAGTGGGAGATGAGGAGGTTCTAGAGTTCTGGCTTTGGATCGGCTTGTGCCATTGGGGTCACTTATGGAGTGAATCAGAGGATGAAAGATCTTTCTAATAAAAAAAGGAAAGAGACTAGAAGCAGAAGCATTTGGTGCTGAACCCTATCCACAAAGGTAAATTATTACTGTTGTTGTTACGTCCTCCCATTCTCAAAACTACAGCTTGGAGTCCTTGCTTATGTTATTAGGGTAATCTGTAAATAAGGTGTAGCAGGTTATTCTACTTTGAAAAACTTAAAAGAGACTTTCACTTCTTTCTTTTTCAGAATAATTGTCTCAACAGACCCAACATCTACCTCATTCCAGACATTGATCTAAAATTGGCTAACAAGTTGAAAGATATCATCAAACGACATCAGGTAATAGACATGATCACTTAGGAAACATTGTGCAGCAGTAAGTTAGTAAGTGTCAGTGATAATGTCTTCGAATTTCTGTATCTTCTCATGAAAGTGATGTTTTTTCTGTGGATTCTTTATTCTCCACCACCCACATTTATGTATTTATTTATTTTAAGATTTATTTTTTTATTGGAAAATCAGAGGAACAGAGAGAAGTAGAGATAGAGAGGAAGATCTTCCATCCGATGACTTATTCACCAAGTAGTCACAACAGGCGGAGCTGAGCTGATCAGGAGCCAGAAGCCAGGAGCTTCATCTGGGTCTCCCATGTGGGTAGATGGTTCCAAGGCTATGGCCTGTCCTTGACCGCTTTCCCAGGCTACAAGCAGGGAGCTGGATGGGAAGTAGGTGCCGTGGGGACATGAACTCGCACCCACTTGGAATCCCGGTGCGTGCAAGATGGGAATGTTACCACTAGGCTACCGTGCCAGGCCCCCTAATTTTTTTTTTAAAGACTCAACTTTTTTTTTAAGCTGAGAAATGGGGAAATCCAGAGGTTTACTTTGTGACCCCAGAGTCATTTCCCATCCTGCAGTTTTTAAATGTTTCTAACTCTAGGAGACCAAGCAACCTCCTTCATGACCTTTTGAAGACCATTGAGCTGAGAAATTCTACCCTTTATCTTAATGTTCTACCCTTTCCCTGAATGTTCGCAACTTCTGGGGATGGGCTTGATATGTGCTTGGAGCTTCCATTTGTCTCTCATGTGGTGAGTGCTCGTGCTCAAATGGTTGGGTTATCTTCTGCTGCTTCATCAGGCACAATAGCAGGGAACTGGATCCAAAATGTAACATCCATGGGCTCGTCGCAATGGCCTAGTGGCTAAATCCTCGCTTCGCAGCCATCATCAGCCAATATGTTCACTGCCTTATGTGCTGGTTGCTCCACTTTCCATATCGCTCCCTGCTTGTGGCTTGCAAAAGCAGTTGAAGATTGCCCAAAGCCTTGGGACCCTTCCCCTGCGTGGGAGACCTGGAAGAAGTTCTTGTACCTTGATTTAGGTTGGATAAGCTCAACTCCAGTCATTGTGTCTCTTTCAGAGTGAATCAACAGATCTTTCTCTTTGTCTCTCCTTTTTTTCTTTGAATCTGCCTTTGCAATAAAGGTAAATAAATAATTTTTAAAAAATGTAGCATCTGGAGCTTCAATTGGTACCAGATAAATTTCTTGCACAGTAATCAGTGGTTTAACCTGTTCTGCTACAGTCATTTGCTTAACCTGTCCTAACAAAGTACTAGTCACTGAGTTTTATTCATCTGAGAGGAAGGTCTTCCATCTGTTGTTACAGTCTTCCTGTTTTTCTCTGGTCTATCCCAGTTGCTGGTAACTGATTTAGCCCTAACCCTTATGTCTTCTGGGAGCAATATGACCCTGTACTGCAGCTTTCACAGCTGCCCTCCAGGATGCCCATTGGCAGAAACCTATGCTAATGGCTGGAATAAGAATTTGAACCTAGGGATTGCAGTTTAGAATGTGGGCATTGCAGTGGCTTGGCCAAATGTCCATAGCTAACTGTTTTTAAGATTTGTTTATTTCAAAATAGAATTGCAGAGAGCGTGAGAGTCAAAGATTTTCGTCTGTGGGTTCACTCCCCAGTGGCTGAAGTGGCTATTTTTTAGGACAGTCCAAGGCAGGAGCCAGGACCTTCTTCCTGGTCCCTACGTGTATACAGGGTTGCATGGCTTTGGCCATCTGCTGTTGCTCTCCCAGGTACATTAGCAGGTGGTTGGATTGAAATTAGGACAACTAAGACTTGAGCCAGTGCCAAAATATAGGATACTGGCACTGCAAATAGCATTTTTACCCAGTAACCACAGTGCTAACCACTCCTGTTTATTTTAGACATGTTAATAACTTAGTGTGATTGTACCTCTCACTCTTTCCAGCTCATTGTATGCATTAACTGGGTCTGTGCCAAATTCCTCTCCTGGTTTCCCAGGCCAGAAGCAGGGAGCTAGATGGGAAATGGGGTTTTTGGGACACTAACAGGCGCCCGTATGGGATTCTGGCGTACACAAGGCGAGAACTTTGGCTGTTAGGCTATTGGGCTGGATCAATGCACCAGATGCTTATGTAGGTGTTTTCTGTTGCTGCTGTATCTCAGCAGAAACTGGAGCAGAAAGCTCTTAGCGTTTAGACTGAACCACACTCACCGGCTAGTGATGTTGACTTTTTAGTCTCTATACAGCATTGCCGTGATGGAGAAATCCTTCCTTAATGAGGTAGCCAGTTAATTTTCAGATAGTTAAAATTTTTGTATTTTAGCATTAACTCAGATTATGAAAATAAATTAGTATGTTTTTCTGACTATATTGATTAGGAAATATTCATTGTCTAATCAAAATTCAGAGAATTAAGGTGCTTCTTAATACCTGAATGTAAGGATTCATGACATTTTTGTGATACTTGAAATGATCAATTTTTGATCTTTGTGGCTTCTGAATTCAAATGTGTCAAGGCTGGGGTTGGTATTGTGGCTCATCAGTTTCAATTCGCTTCTTCCAGGGCCACTATCCCATATTGGCATTCATTCTAGTCCCAGATGCTCAATTTCCATTTCAGTTTCCTGCCAGATAGCCTGGGAAAGAAGTAGAGGATGTGGCTCAAAGCCTTGGGACCCTACACTTGTGTGGGAGACCAGGAAGAATCTTCTGACTTATGGTGTTAGATCAACTCAGCTCCGGTCTTGTGGTCACTTGGGCAGTGAGTCAGCAGATGGAGTATCTTTCTGTAAATCTGACTTTCCAGTAAAAGTAAATAGTTTGGGCCTAGCACAATAGGTCATGGCTAAATGCTATGCCTTCCATGGATCCCATATGGGTGCTGGTTCATGTCCCAGATGCTCCACTTTCCATGTACCTCCCTGCTTGTGACTTGGGAAAGTAGTAGAGGATGGTCCAAAGCTATAGGAGTCTGTACTCACATGAGAGATCTGGAAAAAGCTCCTGGGTTTTGACTTTGAGTTGGATCACTTCCAGCAATTATGGCCATGTGAACCAGTGGCTGAGAAATCTCTATCTCTTGTCTTTGACCTTTGTAAATCTGAAACAAACTTTTTTTTTTTAATCTGAAGCTTGTAAACCTCCAAAATTGTTGTGATAGATTGTGATTGTTTTGAAATAACTGTAAAAGTCAGATATAATCGGATTTATAAATTGGCACGATGTACTTCTGTTTTTTTTCTGTGCCACAATATAAACTCTAAAAACAGATTTGAGTTTCTATTTTGTTAATGTCCCTTTTCTTGACTTAAAGTAATAATAAATAAACCAGTGCTCTCAATATTCTTACAGAATTTTTTATCATGTCAATCTGGTTGGCATATGTATTCTACTGACATTTTTTATGTTCATCTGTTTTCCAGGGGACATTTACTGATGAAAAGTCAAAAGCTTCCCACCATGTTTATCCATATCCTTCCTCACAGGAGGATGGTAAGTCAGTTTTTTTCGTCATGAACTGGTAACTTCATGTTTCCTCATACCAATTTTATTTCTATTCAACAGTTTAAAATAATGTAGAAGCGTTGTAAAACAGAGAAAGACCTGTATGCTCATTTCTTATTTATTTGTTTAGTTTTAATATTTGTTTTTGTTGGAAAGGTAGGTTAAGTTTACATAGAGGAGGAGATGCAGAAAGAATTAGCTTCCCTCCTCTGGTTTACTCCCCATGTGCCTCCAATGGCTGGAGCTGGGTGGATCCAGAGCCATGAGCCTCTCCCAGGTCTCCCATGTGATTCAGGGTCCCAAGGTTTTTGGCTTTTCCTACTGCTTTCCCAGGCCAGAAGCAGGGAGCTGGATGGGAAGCGGGGCTGCAGGGATTAGAACCAGCACCCATATGGAATCCCGGTTTGTGCAAGGTGAGGACTTCAGCCACTAAACTACCTCGCCATGCTCAAAATAAATAAATCTTAAAAGAACAGCAACAAAAAATGAACAGCCTGGTGTGGTAGCCTAGTGGCTAAAGTGCTTACCTTCTACACGGCAGAATCCCAAATGGGCACTGGTTAATATCCCTGCTGATGGTTCACTCCCTCAAGTGGCCATATCCGAAGCCAGGAGCCAAGAACTTTTTCCTGGTTTCTTTCACATGTGGATGCAGTGTCACAAGCCATTGGGCTGTCCTTGATTGCTTTCCTAGGCTTTCAGCTCAGAGTTGGGTGGGAAGCACCCGGACATGAACTGGGTTTTAAAAAAATGTATTTAAAATCCTATTTAAAAAAATTTTTTTTAAATATTTATTCTAAGTCAGGGTAATAGTGAGAGGAGAGACAGAGAAACTTTTCAATCCCTGGTTTACTCCTCAAATGGACATGACAGTTTTGGGCCAGATTGAAACAAGGAATCTAAGAGCTTCTTACTCTGCCATTGGGCACAGGGCCAATGTGGGGCTGCTTTCCTAGGTGTGTTCACAGGGAGTGGGATTGAATGTAGAGCTGCTAGGTCTCGTAGCAGTGCACATGAGATAGCAGGCTGTGGCTGAACAGTGCTGTACTGTGCTGCTGACCCCTCAGTGTTCTTTTCCTTAGCGGTGTGATAATGGTAGATGCCAACAGTAAAAATATAACTAGACAATCCTCATATATTTGAAATTTAAGAAATGAATTATTGGACCTTGTGTAAGGCTCAGTGTTAAATCCTTGCCTTGCACTTCCAGGATCACATATTGACACGGGTTCATGTCCTGGTTGCCCCACTTCCCATCCAGCTCACTGCTTGTGGCCTGAGAGCACGGAGGCTAGCCCAAAGCCTTGGGACCCTGTACCTGCATGGGAGGTCTGGAACAAGCTGCTTGCTGCTAGCTTCAGATCAGCTCAGCTCTGGTCATTGTGGCTGCTTGGGGAGTGAACCAGTGGATGAAGGATCTTTTTTCCTTCTCTCTGTAAATCTGCCTTTCTAATAATACTGTAAAAAAAAATCTTTATACAGATTTGGTAGAAAGAAACAGGATAACTTAGGAGCAGGCTTTTGGCCTGGTTGTTCAGTCTCCAATATTCTCCATCAGAGTTTATGGGTTCTTGCCCTGGCTCCATCTTATGAATGTGGCTTCCTGAAAATGCATACCGTGGCCGGCATCAGAAGACTCAAGTTTTTGGGTTCCTGTCACTTATGTGGGAGATCTGCATGGCATTTCCTGCTCTTAGCTTTTTTTTAAACTGCTGTCTGCATTTTTCTCTTTGTTTTCTGCCTCTGAAATAAATTGTAACAATGGAAAACAAGTCAAGAATGAAGGGGATAGGGGCATTACTACAGATCCAACAGACATCTTTAAAGCAATCATAAGTTAATCCTTCTATGGGAGTGGAGTGGGAGGGAGGATTGCCTGTAATTTTTTGTTGTTCAGTCTAATAACTCATTGGTTTGTCATTTTATAACATGAAAAACCTTACTCAGCATCTAGTGTGTACAGTTAATTCGTTGTTCTTCAACTATTGTTAATGTAGTAGCAACCAGTTTCCACTAGATGGAAGTAGTGGATAGCTCTGTGTTGCTAAACAGTGTCTCCAAAATGAGTGCTTCTAAAATTTGAATTTTTTTCTTTCTTTAAGAATTGCATTTTTTGGGCCCAGCAGCGTGGCCTAGCAGATAACGTCCTCGCCTTGAATGCGCTGGGATCCCATATGGGTTGTGGGTCTAATCCTGGCAGCTCCACTTACTATTTCACTTCCTGCTTGTGGCCAGGGATGGCAGTCCAGGACAGCCCAAAGCCTTGGGACCCTGCACCCGTGTGGGAGACCTGGAGGAAGTTCCTGGATCCTGGCTTCGGATATTTATTAAATATTTATTTAAATATTTTAATTCGAAAGCCAGCTATACAGAAGGGAGAAGAGAAAGAGAAGATCTTCCATCTGATGGTTCACTCCCCAACCACCTGCAACAGCAAGAGCTGAATGGTTCAAAAACCAGGAGCAAGGAGCCTCTTCTGGGCCTCCCATGCGGGTGCAGGGTCCCAAGAGTTTGGGCTGCCTTCGGCTGCTTTCCCCGGCCACAAGCAGGGAACTCGATGAGAAGCAGGGCAGCTGGGATTAGAACTGGTGCCCGTATGCTATCCCAACACAGGCAAGGTGAGGACTTCAGCTAGTAGGGTACAGCGCCAGGCCCATAAAATGCAATTTAAAAAATAATATTGATGCATTTTTTTAATTAATTTATTTTTATTGCAAAGTCAGATATACATAGAGGAGGAGAGACAGAGAGGAAGATCTTCTGTCCAATGATTCACTCCTCAAATGACTGCAAAATCCAGTGCTGCACCAATCCAAAGCCAGGAGCCTCCTCCAGGTCTCCCATGCAGGTGCAGGGTTCCAAGGCTTTGGGCCGTCGTCCTCTACTGCTTTCCCAGGCCACAAGCAGGGAGCTGGATGCCACTACCCCATTTCTGACCTAACTCCCTGATAATACACTTAGGAAAGCAGAAGATGACTGCCTCAGTGTTTGGCCCCTTACCACTCACTTGGAAGACTTCATTGGCGTTTTAGGCTCCTCTCTCCATTCCACACCAGCCCTGGTCATTTCAGCCAATTAGGAAGTGAACTGGAGATGAAATCTCTCTCTTACCATTTCTAACTTTTCAAAATAAGTTCTTCAGAATTGTTGCATATGACTTCTCTTGGTCTCTTGATTTTTAATTGTGTTTTTCTTAGATTTCATTACTTATCATCTGTTTATCACAGGGTCAATTAAATTATCATTTTCTTTTTTGTATTTTCAGTGATTCTGTAATGACTATTATTTCTATTTTTTAAAAATCCATGTAAAAATTAATGCCAAATCAAAGTTTATCCAGTTATTTTGCCAGTTTAGAGTTGTTTTTTGTTTGTTTTTGTCCTTTCAGAAGAATGGTTGAGACCAGTGATGAGGAAGGACAAGCAGGTGTTAGTACACTGGGGATTTTATCCCGACAGGTAATGTTGGTGTGCCTGAGATCTGGAATACATTTTTTTTTTTAAATCACAGTAAGTTGGGAGTTAATAGTAGTTTTAATTTTATTTTCTCAATTGTGACAACATTGTTAATTGGTGTTGTCCTTTTTGTCATTTTATTGAGAGTTTTATTTTGATTAGATAGGAGTTGTTGGAAAATTTTAGTGGTAGAGTGATAGGAGTTGATTTACAGAAAAAACATTCTCATCTGTGTGGAAAATTGACTGTTGAGCTGCCAGTGTTAGAAGTAAGGAGGCCACTGGCAAAGGGTTGGGTTAGAAAGTGTATTCTGGGCAATGCTTCTGATGGTAGAGCTATAAAATTTGCAGCTGACTTGATGTTAGTAGGTGTTTCAAAGTAAAGTCAAGGATGGCTTTTGCCCAGACTGCTGGAAATAGGGAGTTGTGATTTACTTAGTTGTGTATATTACTGACCTGGAGTGGGTTTGTAGCCAAGCTGAGTTTGGAAATCTGTCCATATACTGAGGTTTGGATTCATGACTTTAGAGAAGATAACAGATACAGGATTTCAAGTCATTGGTATATATCTAAGGTCATAGGGTTAATGGAGATCTCTTAGCATTAAAGGATTGTGCCTGCAGCTGAGTCCTGAGCCCTTTAGATGCTGAAGACATTTTGGGTAAAGATTATTAATCGGCAATAGAGACTGAAGTGAGGCTGGTGACCAGAAGCAGTACCAGGCGATTGGTACCCAACCTCAAGGCCAGGTGAGGAAGATACTTTGAAGAAAACACAATTAAATATTAAAATTTGCCTGCTCCGAGGCTTATTTATGTTTAGTAAGAAAAAGTTCCTGGTGATCTCCAAGGAGTGTTATTGCCAGAAGAGTAAAAACAGTCTGATACCTTGTTATAATAGTAGTTATAAAATATATTCTTACTGTTTGATATAAGTGTTTTCACTGAGTGCTTCTAACTTGTCTTTTTCTTTTTAGCTATGATACCTGGATGCATAGTAATGATGTTGATGCTGAAATTGAGGATCCACCCATTCCAGAAAAGCCGTGGAAGGTGAACGATTAAAAAAAATTATGTTGTCTGATAGCTCTCTGTAATTAGTTCTCTGCTATAATCCCGTTAAAGAATGATGGTCTCCCTTTTCCATTTCTCTTAATGAGATATCCACAGCCAAGGCTTCGTTGTCTAGGTAATGCGTGGAATGTATACAGTGACACTTGAGGAGAGTTCAAAGGCTAGATCGGAGTGGGTTTTGAGAGAGTTGAGAGTGGGATGTAGGGCTGTTGATGCTGTCATTGAAGAAGCCCTGGAGCAGTGCCAGTTTCACTTTGGTATGAAAATGTTCATTCCCAGCACAAGAATCTCATTAAAAAATTTTTTTTAATTATTTTTTATTGGAAAGTCAGATTTATCGAGAGAAGGAAACACGGAAAGATTTTCCTTCTGCTAGTTCACTCCCCAAAAGGCCACAACAACTGGAGCAGGCGCCTCTCTGGGTCTCCCATGTTTGTGTAGGTTCCCAAGGCTTTAAGTCATCCTCTACTGCTTTCCCGGGCCACAGGCAGGGAGCTGGAAAGGAAGTGGAGCACCCAGGTTACAAACTGGCACCCGTATTGGATCCCAGTACACGTAAGATGAGCACTTTAGCCAGTTGGTTATTTGCTGGACTCCTGAAATTAGGTACTCTTGACAGGTTGACCAAGGTCATTAAAAAAGAAACAATTTTATTTGTTTGTTTGTTTAATTGAAAGGCAGAGTGAGATGACAAAGAGCTACCTTCTGCCTGCTTGTTCACTCGCCAAAGACTACAATGGACAGGGCTAGATCAGGCTGTAGTCAGATTGGGTATATTTTTCATGTGTCTAGTCAGAACAGAGTAAATCATGCCTAGAGAAAAAAAAAACCTGTAGACTAATGGGATAAATTATAGGACCAGTGAGCTGGACAGTATTGCAAAGAACTCTACCAAAGGTGTTCTAGATGTTTATTTCCCTGAAGTTTAGAACATTAAAGTGGGGTGGATTGCAGAAGTTACTAGCACCATCTGTTGGTTAGCAAACTGGGCTTCAGAGTTAGGTGATTTTGCACAAGGTCCCATAGCCTGTGATGTCATTTAGCACAACATGTTTAAGAGAACAGAATGGTTTAATGGTCAAACAGAACTTGGGAAATGTAAGGGTTGCTTCCATTATGTGTGTTAAGTAGGCGTCCTGCTGAGATGTTTTCCAGTTGGCTGTCTGTAAAGGTGGAGAAGCTAGTGCCAGCCTTGTTTCATTATGCCATCGATTAGCTGAAGCATCACATATGTGGCATAGAGCATGACACAGTTGTCACACGCTTTTCTAATAAGCTTTCTCAATTTATTTCAAAGCTTTCTGGATAAATGATGCACAGTGTCATTTACAATGTTAAGTACAAGGTTTCCAAATTTTGGAAAGCACTTTTGCCTCTTCTGTATTTTGTGGCTCATCGCTAAGCTCTTTGTTTTAAACCTGGTTTTATTTTTCTTCTTTATTAACTTGAGGCTTCCCGTATACTTTTTGCTTGTTTTAAATAAGGGACTTTGGGAAATTTATCCTGCTTGAATATTTTTCTTTAGGAAGTTTATGTTGTATTTCAGTAATTGTCATAGTATGTCTTACCTTTGTGGTTTTCTAGTTGAACTTCATGTTTGTGATTCTTTTTGTTTCTTCTGACCAGACATGGCCAGGGGAAACCCTTCTCTGCCACTCCTTATGACTTGAGATGTGAATAGCCATCTCATTTAAGATAGAATTGTTTGGTGCTCAGTTCCAGTTGAGTCCTCTTTGAGAAATAGTGTTGTGCAAAATAGAATATACATAGGTTAGATCTGTGGTTAAAGTAGCCATATACAGTCACATGTACATTTGCACATCTAGTGAATAGTTCACTTTGGTACTTGCTGCTGCAGCTAGAGGCATGATTGTATAAAGGATGGGAGGAGTTCATCTGTCTATTCTGTTTCCCAAACCTACCCCGCCGTTGGTCATTACTAAATGCTCTCCAAGGATTGATGTGTATACCTGACAGAGCTAGGGGAAAGATCTCTATAAATGTGTAGGATGTTGCTTGTTATGTAGAACTAGATTTCCTTTTTTCCTAGTGCCATGAGTATATGCAGCTCTGTGCTCTTGACTGTTTATCAGTGATTTCTATGAAGATATAATGACGTGGTTATCAAAATTGTATATTAAACCAAACCAATTATACTTTGTTATTTTTAATATTTTTTTTAAAGTTCAAGTGAAGGGTTTTATTAGGGGTGAGAGTCAGACGGACTGCTCTCTGGCAGGAGATGGCCTGGGACCATTTACACATTGCGGAGTGACCATGGGAGGGCATTGGCCCTGTGCTATTCTTTACTTAGTGTAATCAAGAGTCTAGGGGCCAGCATTTTGGTGTAGTTGAAAAAGCTACTGCCTATAGTGTTGACATCCCATGTGGGTGATTATTTTAAGTCCCAGATATTGGATTTCCAATTCAGTTCCCTGTTGTCCTTCAAAGGCCTTCAAGAAGCTCCGGCTTCTTACCTGGCCCGCACTGGCCAGTGTGACCTCCAGGGAAGTGAACCAGCAGATGTTCTGTCTGTAAATATGACTTAGAAATCAATCAATAAATCTTTAAAAGGATTTGAAATGGTTGTGGTTGCATATAATTGCTAGTGCTGAGGCATAGACAATGAAACAGAAGTGCTTGTTGCATTGTTGAGATGATATTTGGAACTCTTTGATTCTGATTTGAAATGCCGAGGTTCAAGTCCTGGCTCTGTGTGGTAGGAGCCTAGCCTCATGCTGATTTATACTGTGGAAGATGGTAAGTGATGATTTGAGTTTGGGTCCTTGCCATCATCATGGGAAACTCAGGATGAGTTCCAGGTTCTTTGCTTGGGCTTGATGCAACCCTGGGTATTTTAGAAGTTTTACAAGTGACCAGTAGACTTTGACATGTATATCTGCCTTTCAGATAAATTGAAAACAAATAAATAAATGAAATATGCTTTGTTTTTGAGTGCTTTAAAAGTTTGAATGATTTTTGTGTTTCTGTGTATTTGTGACTTGTTTCAGGTTCATGTGAAATGGATTTTGGACACTGACGTTTTCAATGAATGGATGAATGAGGAGGATTATGAGGTGGATGAGAACAGGAAGCCAGTGAGCTTTCGTCAGCGAATTTCAACAAAGAATGAAGAGGTATTCCATTTGTTACTGTTTTAAATACTAGCTATTTCTGTTTTCTGTTAACTTAGATGTTTTTAAATGTTCATTGATTAACTGTTACAAGCAAAGCAAGGTGCATCAGTTTTTGTTTGATTTTTGATGAAGTACATATTTGGGCCAATTTTTTACATTTCATCTTAGCCAAGAGGCCGAGAAGCAATGGGCCAATTTTTTGATGTACATAGTAGGCAGCCTCATCACATTGGCTGCTCTGCTATTCAGTTCCTTGTTGAGGGCCTGGGATTAAGGCAGTGCGATATGGCCCCAGTGCTTGGGCCCCTGCTACCCATGTGGGAGAGCTGGATGAAGCATGTAACAATTTGCTGAGTGAGCCATATCTTTCTCTGTTCATCTGACCATTAAATAAACAAATAGAAGTTTAAAAAACAAAACATGGGGATTGGTATTGCATCATTGAGGCCATTTGGGAAGTGATCCAATGAATGAAAAACGTCTCTTGTCTTTTCCTCTTTGTTACTCTTAAAAATAAATTTTAACAAACAATCAAGACAAAAAAAACATGAAAACAGAGTACATGTAAAATTTCAAGAGTCCATAGTAGCATCTTAGGGATCAGCATGTCCCCACAGAAGGAGCAGAGAATGCTAAATGTGTCAATAGGATTTACACTGGTCAGTTTTGTGGTGGAACGTCTGATTTTTTTTTGTTAGATATGAGTTTCAGTTTTGTGTGCCAAATATTTCAGCTTTATGTAATTTTGCTTCCGATTTAATATGCACAATGCTTTTATTTGGTTCTTTAAGAAAAATAACTTGGGCCCGGCGAGGTGGCGCAAGTGGTTAAGGTCCTCGCCTTGCACGCCCAGGATCCCATATGGGCGCCGGTTCTATCCCGGCAGCCCCGCTTCCCTACCAGCTCCCTGCCTGTGGCCCGGGAAAGCAGTTGAGGACGGCCCAAAGCTTTGGGACCCTGCACCCATGTGGGAGACCCAGAAGAGTCTCCTGGCTCTGGATCGGCATAGTATCGGCCCGTTGCGCTCACTTGGGGAGTGAATCATCGGATGGAAGATCTTCCTCTCTATCTCTCCTCTCTGTATATCCGCCTTTCCAATAAAAAAAATAATAAAAATAAATCTTTAAAAAAAAACTTAAGGGCCTGCTGCATTAGCCTAGCGGCTTAATCCCTACCTTGCGTGTCCTGGCGTACCCTCTGGGCGCATGTTTGTGTCCCAGATGCTCCATTTCTTTCCAGCTCCCTGCTTGTGGCCTGGGAAAGTAGTAGAGAATGGCCCAAAGCTTTAGGACGCTGAACTCGCGTGGAGGGCTGGAGAAAGCTCTTGGCTCCTGGCTTTGGATTGGCTCAGTTCTGTCCGTTGCAGCTGCTTTGGGGAGCGAACCAATGGACAGAAGATTTTTCTTTCTCTCTGTAAATCTGTCTTGTTTCTTTTTAAAAAAGATTTATTTATTTTTATTGCAAAGTCAGATATACAGAGAGGAGGAGAAACAGAGAGGAAGATCTTCCGTCTAATGATTCACTCCCCAAGTGTTTGCAAAGGCTGGAGCTGTGCCAATCTGAAGCCAGGAGCCAGGAGCTTCTTCCCGGTCTCCCACACGGGTGCAGGGTCCCAAAGCTTTGGGCCTTCCTCAACTGCTTTCCCAGGCCACAAACAGGAGCTGAATGGGAAGTGGAGCTGCCAGGATTAGAACTGGCACTCATATGGGATCCAGGCACTTTTAAGGTGAGGACTTTAGCTGCTAGGTTATTGAGCCGGGTTCTAAATTTGAGTTTCTAATAAAAATAAAAAATAAATATTTTTAAAATATGGTAGTACTGACTAAATTAGGATAATTTCAAGGTTAATGTTCAAATAATGTTTTTATTTCAAAGTCTAATGACATACGATGTGGGGGGAGAACTCTGCCGGTTCACTCTCTGAATGGGTCACATAGCAGGCCTGTTCCAGGAGCCAGGAATCTAGCCATACCTCACATTTGGATGGCAGGGTTCCAGGTATTAACATCATCATCTGCTGCCTTCCAAAGCACTTCAGCAGGGAGCTTAGATGTTCCATGCTGGTGTCACAGCTGTGGTGGCTTAAATTGCTGCACTGCAAGCCCAGTCTGTCATATTTTAGGTTTTTTTTTTAAAGATTTATTTTTATTATTTTTTTTATTGGAAAGGCGGATATACAGAGAGGAGAGATAGAGAGGAAGATCTTCCATCCGATGATTCACTCCCCAAGTGAGCGCAATGGCCGATGCTATGCCGATCCAGAGCCAGGAGAATCTTCTGGGACTCCCACGCGGGTGCAGGGTCCCAAAGCCTTGGGCCATCCTCGACTGCTTTCCCAGGCCACAGGCAGGGAGCTGGAAGGGAAGCGGGGCTGCCGGGATAGAACCGGCGCCCATATGGGATCCTGGGCGTGCAAGGCGAGGACCTTAACCACTTGCGCCACCTCGCCGGGCCCCATATTTTAGTTTTTAAAAATTCTTTTGAAACTGAAACACTGAACTATTTTCATGGAGCAGCTTCTATTCATTCATACTTATTTTTCAGCTTTATGGCTGTTCAGATAAAATTCCTTGCATAATATTTGTATTTATTTGCTAGATCAAAAGAATAAAAGAGAGATACAGAGATTTTCTGTTTATTGATTTACTCTAAATTACCACTAAACTGTCTCTGGGCTGGTCTGAAACCAGGAACCTGGATGTCTCATATGATTGCAGCGGCTCAAGGACTTCGGCCATCTTTCAGTGCTTTCCCAGGCAGATTAGCAGGGAGCTGGATCAGAAGTGGGGCAGCCGAGACCTAAATTGGCACGCATATGGATGCCAGCTCTGCAGGTGGCTGTTTCAGTTGCTACACCATAGTGGCAAACCCTGATGTTTTGGTTGTTTTTGCCCTGTACTTCATTTGCTTTACCATAGCCAATGCTTTGGATCATTTAAGATGCTTGTATTATTATTAATTATCATCTACAGATTGTGTTGTATAAATTGAACCTTGGGATTTCCTGTGTTATTGGCAGGTGACTATAATTGTACTTGTTCAGGTTGACAACATGTTTTGTGTGTGAAGTTCCCTCTTTTATGTCCTTTATTGGCCGATTTAAAAAGTGGTTTCTGTAGTGGCACTGTCACAGGATCATTCTGTTTGTCTTTGCTTTACACAGTGTAGTGATGTGTTTCATGTTTATCTACAAGAGTTAGTGCTTTCTGTACTTGATAGTTCAGAATGTGAGCCATAACTGCATTTAGCTTTGCTTGAACTCTGGGCAGGCCTGTGTCGTAATGAGTTGGGATATCCGTGGGATTGTGCTGGTGTTCGCGTTGAGTCACCAGAAATGTCAGGTAACATCTCTGTGCTTGTCCTCCTTGTGACTTCACAGCGAGCTTTTATTTGTATCAATTCATGAGTTTGGTGGTATCTTGATTTTTGGAATCTGGCCTTTTGGACAAGTTTGCAGAAGCTGAGGCATCTGTAGAGTTGGCTGATACCTATTTCTACTTGCTTCTTCCTAGCCAGTCAGAAGTCCAGAAAGAAGAGATAGAAAAGCATCAGCCAGTGCTCGTAAGAGGAAACATTCACCTTCACCTCCCCCTCCCACACCCACAGAGTCCCGGAAAAAGAGTGGGAAGAAAGGGTAAGAACTGCTGTGTGATTCATAAGGCATTAAAACAGATGTGAAAGGGCTGTCTGGAATTTTACATTAAAGTTTCTTCTGTTTGTAAATTACTTGTTGATTGACTTGTTTGGAAGCTTTTGGCATTGAAAGTTTATCTTGTTAAGAGATGTAATCTTAGGAGCATCTTGTTGCATTTATACAGACAACTGGAATACATGTTTTTAAAAAGATTTATTTTATTTTATTTATCTCTAAAGTCAGATATATATAAAAGAGGAGATACAGAGAGAAAGATCCTCCGTCCAAGGATCTGCTTCCCAAGTGACCGCATTGGCTGGTGCTGCGCCAATTCAAAGCTGGGAGTCAGGAGTTCCTTCAGGTCTCCTACACACTGGTGCAGGGTCCCAAGTCATTGGGCCATCCTCGAATGCTTTCCCAGGCCACATGCAGGGAGCTGGATGGGAAGTGGAGCTGCCGGGACTAGACCCGGCTCCCACATGGGATCCCGGCACATTCAAGGCGAGGATTCTAGATGCTAGCCCATCACACCAGGTCCCCCAGAACATTTTGTTTTTCTATGTTAACGTTTGTGTTTAGAAGCCTGGCTCCTGAGTCCAAGTTGAGGTAGTGTCTCAGCCTTAGTTGGACCATCTCTCCCACAGGAGGGAAATAAAGCTGTCGCTGTTGGATGTTCAGTAAGGCACAGCAGTGGAGCTTGGTTGAAGCCCCTTGTTCCTACTTTATGATCCTTCCTTGACAGGGGATCCTGTTTCTTGCTGAGCAGTTTTTACAGGAATTAAGTGAAACTTTAAAGCCATGGATTAGTGTCTGACATGAAATATGTACTTAATAAATAGGCAATAATAATAGCCAAAACTGAAAAAAACAATTTATTTAGAGAGTACAGGGATAGGGCCCGGCACGATAGCGTAGTGGTTAAAGACCTCACCTTGCATGCCCAGGATTCTATAGGGGCTCCAGTTCTAATCCCAGCAGCCCTGCTTCCATCCGGCTCTCTGCTTGTGGCCTGGGAAAGCAGTCAAGGACAGCCTAAGGCTTTGGGACCCCGCACCTGCGTGGGAGACCTGGAAGAAGCTCCTGGCTCCTGCCTTTGGATTGGCTCAATTCTAGCTGGTTGGACGAAAGATCTTGATCTCAGTCGCTCCTCCTCTCTGTATATCTGACTTTCTAATAAAAATAAATAAATCTTTTTAAAAAAGTAGTACAGGGAAAGAAGTATACATGGAACCAAAAATAGCAACTTCATTCTCTGGTTCCTACCTCTGAGATGCCTAGTTTCCACAACCAGAGCCGAGAACCGTAAACTGAATTCATGTATCCCAGAATTGGAACGTAGTTCTTACTAGTGCCTGCCTTGGCAGGAGGCTGAAGTTAGGTCCTGGAACCAGAACATTGTCTTTGACTGGGGGACAGCAGGCATATCAGGCTAATCTGCGGAACTGTGATGCCGGCTTCCCATATGGGCACCGGTTCATATCCCAGCTGCTCCATTTCCCATCCAGCTCCCTGCTTGTGTCTTGGAAAGCAGTTGAGAATGGCCAAAAGCCTTGGAACCCTGCACCTCTGTGGGAGATCTGTTAGCAGCTCCTGGCTTTAGATCGGATTACCTTAGCTTCAGCTCTTCAGCTTTTGTTTTTGTTTGTGGAGTGAGCCACAGATGATGTTTTCTTTCTGTATGCCCTTACGTATAAACTGTCTTTCCCATAAAAATAAAAAAAAAAAATTTTAAGTTTGCTAATTTGACAGTTACAGTTGCATAGAAAGATGTTGTTCTGCTTCCTGGTTTATTCCCTAGATAGATGTTGCCAATGGTGAGGATTGAACCAGGGTTTTCCGTGTGAGTGCAGGGACCTCTACTTAGGACAAGTTTTGTTGCTTTTCATAATCCAGGCAATTGACAAGAAGCTGGATTGCAAGCGAAACTGCTAGGACAATAAATCAACCATGTGTGATTCTGGCATTGTAGATGGCAGCTTAAGACACTGTACTACAACACTGGTCCCAAGTTTATCATGTTGTAATGTGAATTCTATTGAAGAGCTGCTGAGTGCTTTGGTAGGAAAGCCATATGAAGTCTTTGTGGCCTAAGGCGAAATGGTAAAATGCAGCCCGGGGCACTCTTAATTATGGTAGCAAGGTGAGGTGTCCCGGAGGCTCGCAGTGGTGCTGTTCCTTACGTACTCCTCTGAGTACAAGGCAGCCAGATGGAGTGTGCAAAGCTACATGTTGCATCTTTTTGGGGAAAAAAAAAAAATTTATTTCCCTTGAAAGTCAAAGTTGGAGAGAAAAAAGATCTTCAGTTCGCTGGTTCATTCCCCCAAATGACCACTAATGAACCTGTCTGAAATTGGAAGCTTGGAGCCTCTGCATTTCGTACACGAATCTTGGGGCCCAAGTACACGTGCTGTCCTCTGCCACTTTATTAGGCCGTTACCAGGGAGCTGGATTTCTAGTGGAGCAGCCAGGACTCCAGAGGGCGCCCTTATGGGATGCCAGCACTCCAGATTACTGCCTGCATTCTCATTTGTTAGTCTGATCTGGGTTATTGCAGCCTTTTTCTCCAAGAAGTTACTTTTCCTCCCTTGGTCTTTTTACTCTTCATTTTGAAACATTATTTCTTAGTGAAAAGTTTCATAATTCTCAAAGTACAATAGAACTGTCACAATTTTTACAAACTGATATTTTTTTTTTAAGATTTGTTTGTAAAGGAGAGTTAGGGAGAGAGGAAAGATAAACTGATTCACTCCCCTGATGCCTGCAGTGGCCCAGGCTGTGGCAGGACAAAACTAGGAGCCCAGAGCTTCATTTCAGTCTCTCCCTCGGGGGGTCCACATCCTTGGCCCATTTTAGTCGCTTTCTCTTGTGTGTTGGCAGGGAACTATTCCAAAGGAGGGGTTGGCTGGATATGAACCACTGCCCTTTATAGGCAGCGGACCTGCAGTGCTGTGCCACAACATTGGCTCTGATGTATGTCACCTTTATTCATTTCTGTATTTTTCTGCACTGAACTTTGATACTTGTTGTATTTTTTTTAATTAGTTTCATTGCATTGTATAGTTTATGATTTTCTACCTTGTTCCTTATAATTCTTCAGGACAAGGAATCATTTTTATTTCTGATTTAGGCTTCTGCTAATATAAAATGATCTGATTTCTTTGTGTGTGAAGGAACAATCCAATTTCTATTAAAATAAATTATAAGTAACCATGTTCAATATTTCTACTTTTACACATCCTGGTGGTGATACAATGACATGGTATATTTATTTGTTTTTTTTATATATATATATAAAGATTTATGTATTTTTGTTGGAAAGGCAGATATACAGAGAGGAGGAGACAGAGGAAAATCTTCTGTTGGATGGTTCACTCCCCAAACAGCTGCAATGGCTGGAGCTCAGCTGATCCAAAGCCAGGAGCCAGGAGCTCTTCCGGTTCTCCCACGTGGGTGCAGGGTCCCAAGGCTTTGGGCCGTCTTCAGCTTTAGCCTCTAAGCAATTGTGCCAGGCCTCATAGAAGTATTTCAAAGAATTCCTTATGTAGCTGATTATAATCTGAGTTTTTTGTTTTGTTTTGTTTTTTGACATATCTTCTTTTTATGTATTGTTTTATTTTGCCATATTTCCTTATTATGAGGTTTATTACAGAAATTTTAACTTCCTTTCAGAAAATTTTTATCATTTTAAAAGGTAACATAGCTTCATTTCTTAAGCTGATTTTTTTCTGATTAGATGTACTTTGAAGCGTGTGTCTAATTTATTTTGTGGTTTGATTACTCTTTGACTTTTAAGTTGTTTCTGAGCATAGATTCTAATAATAGGCAGCTATTATCTACCTCTTTTATATTTTAGCCAAGCTAGTCTTTATGGGAAGCGCAGAAATCAGAAAGATGATGATGAGCAGGAAGATCTTACCAAGGACATGGAGGACCCAACACCTGTACCCAATATAGAGGAAGTAGTACTTCCCAAAAACGGTGTGTATTCTGCAGGAGGGCATTAGATGTAATGTGATCATTCTCAGAAGTGTGATGGGGTATTCCTTTTTTGCTCTGAGTCTAGAGTCCTAACATTCAAATAAGAATCGAATCCATCCATTAAGGTTAATGTTTTCAAAGAAGGACCCATATGGGTTGTTGGCACTGCAGGCAGATGCTTAACCTAGTACGATACAATGATGATGTCCTGTGTAGTTTTTGCAACTAGCTGTCAGGTTTTGCAAAATATCTACTGATTCGCTGATAGTAATGTTAGTGATTTAACATTGTTTTTGCTGGACTAGAGTTCTCAGCATTTTGTGTTTACCTTATATGAGCATGACACCTCTCTTTTGTGTAGTTTTCCAACTTAGCTTTTCAGTGGCTTTTTAGTGTTTCACTGGTAGAGGCCTTCCATATCTTTTCTTTCCACTCTGGTCTTCCACCTTCTTGATTTGTGTTCCAGGATCTGAATTTTATTTAACCCAGGCCTATCACTACTGGGAAGTGTACAGCAGATGAAGCTTCTGTCATCCATGTCTATGTTGGGTCTTTACTCTTTCTGCCTTTCATATATAAAAAGAAAAAAGATTAGTGTTTTAAGTATATATAAACTAAGTATGATTCTAAACCCATAGAATGAAAAGCAAAGTGTAATGTACTAATTTTTAGGTATACAGAGCCAATTAATGAATATATGTCAACCGATTTAACCAGGTTTCATCTTATTTTCAAAGGGTGAAATATAAATGGAAAAATTGTAATTGCTTTGAGAAATGGGTACTCTCAGATGTTATTGATGGAAGTAAAAAAATCAATGAACCCACTTAATAGAATTCAGCAGTATCTGCTACAAATTTTAAAATGTTGAATCCGCAGGGGTGGCTGCATGTTAAGCTGCTGCCTGTGATACTGGGTCTCCCAAACAATTGCATGGTACCAAGGCTTCGGGCTATAGTCTGCCACTTTCCCTGGCTTTAAATAGGGATCTGGGTCAAAAGTGAAGCAGCTGGAACACAAACCAGTGCCGTATATGTGATACTGACTCTTGAAAGTGCAGGATTATCCAATAGAGCCATCAGCCCCAAAAAAATCCTTTGTAAAAAATAAATCTATCTAGTCACCACCCTTTTTTTTGTTAGAGCCCATCTTAAACAATTACTGGCACATGCAGAGTAATTGTAAAGGAATGCTGGCTACAGAATAGTAAAATGCTGAGAACAGATTTAATTCCACTGATGTTGTGATAGTTAATATTTGGTCCACTCATGGACACAGTGAACCTGTTAATAATGAATTTAACATGATATATAGTTCAAAGCACTTACGTGAAAAGATCCCAGTGAAACACTGACAAGGCATGCGTGATATTCATGTGATGTTATCAAGCTAATAGGATATATTTCATTGTCCCTGGGTATTGATTCTCCCTGACTTTACCTGTCTGAATGAATAGCAGAGAAATAGGATCAGATCAAATCTCGAAAACCATTGATTAGAAAACGTCCTGGAGCAAGGGTTGAAAGGCTGTTCAAATATTTTGCTTTGAATGTTTCTATATTTAGTTTGACGATGAAAAGGTGTTACTGCTTGTAGGTGGGCATGTGTTTACGGTGAGGGTAAATAGTGAATGATATTGGTGTTTTAAGGAGATGCTTTTATTTTGAAATTCTCCTGTTTCATTCTTTAGTATTACAGAATTTTCCTTCTAAAATATAATTTTGTGTGTTTGTGTGTTTTTTTTTTAATAGTAAACCCAAAGAAAGATAGTGAAAATACACCTGTTAAAGGAGGAACTGTAGCAGATCTAGGTAAATATCAAAATAATTTGTATACTGTGAAGTTGTCATTTTTTTCCTCTTGAATGCAGCAGCACCTTCAGTATTTTTCTTTGGAGAGTTGTTTTCTTTCAGTTTCCTGGTGACCACCACAGGTTATGAGCTGCCTCTGCCGGTGTGCATGCTGTCCTGTGAACCGTTGTTCACGCTCACCGTGGCTGCTGTGCAGTGTTGCAAGTTCTCCAAATGCATCCCCTCAAGATGCCTTTTGATCTGGCTGCTTTCTCTGTGGGATTATCACTTTGTTCCTTCTCTTCTCAGCTAACTGTCCACGTTTTTGTTGAGGCTTCCCTCTCTACTTGCTGTGAAGAAATCTTTAATTATATTTTTCAGCGTGTGACTTAGTTTCGTTAAATTTCATGGTGCTTCTAATGAACGCATAAACTCTAAAGGAGAATGGTTAGTCTGTCTTTTTTTTGTTTTTTGTTTTTTTTTAAATATAGGGCCAGTCAAGGCTGACCACTTATAGGAAACTGGCAGCTGAGAAGTTTTATACTCTTTTTTTATTTTTGTTAAGTATTTATTTATTTTGATTGGAAAGTCAGATATATAGAGAGAGGGAGAGACAGAAAGATCTTTCCATCTGTTGGTGCAAACCCCAAGTTGCTGCAGTGGCCAGAGCTGAGCTGATTGAAAACCAGGATCCAGGAGCTTCTTCCGGATCTCCCACGTGGGTGCAGAGGCCCAAGGGCTTTGGTTCCTCAGCTGCTTTCCCAGGCCACAGCAAGGAGCTGTAAGTGAAGTGGGACAGCCACTCACATGAGATCCCGGCGCATGCAAGACAAGGACTTTAGGGACCAAGCTACTGCACCAGGCCCTGCAGTGGTAATATTTTATTAATGCTCTATCACTTCGTAAACAGTAATTTTTTTTTGATAATCCAATTAGTATTTACCTGTTCGTAAAAGAAATTTTATATTTTAATTTTGCAGATGAGCAGGATGAAGAAACAGTTACAACAGGAGGCAAGGTAATAATTGAAGCCTGATGTGGAATAATTTCTCTAGAAATCCTGTGTATTGAGAACTGGAAAAAGTGAATTATAAGCTTTTTTAATAATAATTCCATTTTGAAACGTGTTGATTTTTTTTTTTTTTAAGGATTTGTTTATTTTTATTGAGGAGTGGCAGAGAGAAAAATCTTCCTGTCTTCGGTCCTCTGGTTCACTCCTCACATGGCAGCAACAGCTGGAGATGAGGCAATCCAAAGCAAAGAGCCAGGAGCCTCTTTGGGGTTTCTCCCATAGATGCAGGGTGCAGGCTTTGGGCCATCCTCTAATGCTTTTCTAGGCCACAGGCTGGGGGCTGAAAGGGAAGTTTAGCCATCAGAACACAAATTGGTTATGGGATTCTGGTGCATGCAAGGCAACTATTTAGCTGCTGGGCCCTAGACCCGTGGTTTGTTTTTGTATTCTTAGTTTAAGATTTATTTTATGTATTTGAATGAGTTGTGGGAGAGACTAGGAAAGAGATCCTTTTGTCTACTGATTAATTTCCCATTTGGCTCCCTCAGAATGCTCTGTTTTTATTTTTCTATTTTAATGTCAGAGTCACAGAGCTGTTCCATCTGCTGGTTCACTTTTGATTGCTTCACTATCAGGGCTGAGCTAGGTAGAAACCGGTAGCTTTATGCAGTCTTTTATATGTGTGGGAGTTTCTTGGAGCATCTTCTGCCACTTTTTTCAGACCATTATTAAGGAGCTTCGTCAGAAATGGAGCAACAGGGACAGGAACTGGCATCCAAATGGGATTTTGGCCTTCTTGGCTCTGTCACAATGGTGAACTATTTCCCAAAGTTTTCTAGAGAGGAAATTTCTATCATCTTACATTGTGACCCTTATTTGGTGAAATTTCTGATTCCCTGGTTCCCTTCTTAGTAGTTAATAGTCAAACCCAGCATTGTTGTTTGTGTAATTATCTGACTATGTAGCCAGAACCAGCCTTGTATTAATTTTCTTACTCCTGGTTTTATTGATTGCAGCCTTAACCAATAAACCTCAGATCATTCTCATAGTATTTTTTGAGTCTTAGACTTAGCTGATTCTTTGTTTGATGTGTGCTCATGTGGACTCCAGTGGGGCTGGGGAGGGATTTTTAGAGCATGGAAAGATCTAAATCAAAAGTAAAACTTCCTTGTAAAGTTAGTATTTTTTCTTTAATGCCAAGAGCAAGAGCAATTTTAAATCCTTGTGTCAGTCTCAGATAATTAAAAATGGTTAGATATTCTCTAGGTCCTTCTTCTACAGCATCATCCTGGCTATTTTCTTATTTGATATAAATAATGTAGTAATAACAACCTGGCATGGAATACCTGTGTTCCTCAGTAGAGGGCCAGGGCTTTTGCTCCTGGCTCCTGCTTACCCCGTCCTTGGTGGGACAAAGCTGATGGTTCCCGTGGTGGTGGGGAAGAAGTTCCTTGCCACCCAAGGGTGAGAAGCGAATCCTATTCCCCGCACCGATTATCAGCCTGGTCAACTGTGTATGCTTTAGAGGTGACCAGTGTATAGGAGGGTTTTGTCTCTCTTTCAAGTAAATGAAGTAAAATGAATTAATATGTTAAAGTTTAAACAAAAATCAATTTATATTTTCAGCCTTCATTAAATCTCTTTTTTTTAAACTATGTAAATGTAGGAATTATTTGTCATCTAGTAGATTTTTAAAACCTATACCTCAAATATCTGTTAGATATGTCAAACTAAAACACATTAATCTGAAATTATTTTTGCTAGTTTACATGATTTTGTTGATTTTTAAATTCTGTCACCAGTAATAACATAGCTATAATTAATATTATTCAGGTAACTACTTCAGTTCTTGGTGTTTTCGTATTTTAACATTTTAATGTTTGTTGCTAAACTAATTTATATGTATAGAGGTGATAATATATCCTCATTTCAAAATATAAAACACAGGAAATTTAGGTTGAATCAAGTTACCAACAAAAATTAAATTATGGAATCAATGCAAAGAAATTCCAATGCAAAAATTACCTGGGTTCTTATTTGTTTATTTTAAATTGGAATGGTAGAGTTACTGAGAGATAAATCTTCATCCATTGATTCACTCCGCAAATGGCTGCAGTGGCCAAAGCTGTGCTGACCTGAAGCCAGGTACCAAGAATTTTTCCTGTTCTCCCACATGGGTGCAAGGCCCCAAGGACCTGATGCTCAATACTGTTTCTAGGACACTTCATGTTTGAAGAAGAGGAGCAAATTCCTTGGTACCTGTCTGTGTTGTCCCTTACAAGTTCTAGAAGGTTGTTTTTATTACAAATTAATTTCCTAGTCCTTTAAATTTATTCCTGTACCTTCATTTTATTTGAACTACAATCAGAAGTTTGATAGCTGTCACATTTGTCCCTATAATTCTGTGCCTGAACTCTGGTTTCATTTTTGTAGGAAGACGACGATCCTAGCAAAGGTGATCCAAGTCGATCAGTTGACCCTGGTGAAGATAATGTGACGGAGCAGACCAATCACATCATTATTCCTAGCTATGCATCATGGTTTGATTACAACTGGTGAGTAGTGAGTAGGTTCTTGCCATCTTTAAGCATGGTGCTGAAGTATTGGAAAAGTGTCCCTGAAACCAGGCCATGTCATTCTATCCAAGTCTCATGTCAGTAATTTTCCCTAGTTTAAAGGAGGTAGAAAGTGAGTTTTCTCTATAAAATGTGTTCTTTGAAACAATTTACAGGTAGGACTGTTGAATTAAGATTATGTATTGTTAAGCTTTAAATTCACCATCAGTTGTAGTTCAGATAGGCAAATTTTGAGTGCTTTTTTTTTTTTCTAATTTGAGAGGAGAAGGAGAGACAGAGAGAAAGAAATTAAATCCACTGCTTCACTCCCAGAGTGGCTGCAGTAGCTGGGGTTGAGCAAGTCCAGAGCCAGGAGCCAGGAGCTTCTTCCTGGTCTCCGATGTGGGTGCAGGTTCCCAAGGCATTGGGCCCTCTCAACTGCTTACCTTGTTCACAAGCAAGGAGCTGAATGGGAAGTGGAGCATCCAGGACACGAACTGACACCCACATGGGATTCATTGGATGTAAGGCAAGAATTTTAACCACTAGGGTACCATGCTATGTGCAGATTTTCAGTATTTATAATTATAAATTACTAAGATTTATTATATGTTTTTATGATTATTTTAAATATATAAATAAGTTTCTCATACCCAGTGACAGATTTATTTTATGCTATGATAGCTTTATTTTATCAGAAAATATTTAACTTTAGAAGATTTTAGAAATATAAACCTTGGCATGTTAAAATGTACAAAAACACATACTTATTTAGCGTCCTGCCTGCTATTGGCAGGCAGCAGTGGCATCCTGGGAAGGTGTTTGAAGCTAGCACAAAGTAACTTCCTTACTGACTGCTTAGGAGATGTTAATTCATACAAGGCTGACTTTAATCAGTTCCCCCCACCTAAGATTATCTTATTGTTCTTATTGGGTGTGGCCAGTGATTTTTTGTTTTGTTTTTTGGAAAGATTTATTTATTTTTATTGGAAAGTCAGATATACAAAGAGGAGGAGAGACAAAGAGGAAGATCTTCCGTCCAATGATTCACTCCCTAAGCTGCAACAACAGCTAGAGCTGAGCCAAGCCGAAGCCAGGAGCCAGGAGCTTCTTCCAGGTCTCCCACGTGGGTGCAGGTTCCTAAATCTTTGGGCTGTCTTTAACTGCTTTCCCAGGCCACAAGCAGGGAGCTGGATGGGAAGCAGGTCTGCAGGGATTAGAACCGGCACCTATATGGGATCCCTGGCATGCAAGGTGAGGACTTTAACCACTACACTATGCGCAGGGCCCTTGTGGCCAGTGTTGCGATTCAAGTCCTGGCTGCTTCTCTTTTGATCCAGATCTCTGCTAATGCACCTGCTAAGCAGTAGAGGATGTCCCATTTGCCTCCTGGCTTTATGTAAGGTCAAGCTTTGCCATTGTAGCCATTTGGAGGGTCCACCAGTGGATGGGAAGATATCTCTTTTTTTTCTTTTTTCTCTGATTAACATATTACTTATTACAAGGTTTATAAGATCAATGTAAAATAATTTATTATTTGAAAGGCAGAGTAATAGGCAACATGAGATCTTAGATTTGCTTCCCAAGTGGCCACAACGGCCAGGCTTGTGCCCGGGACAAGGAGCTCCATTTGTGTCTCCCATATAGGTGGCAGAGGCCCACATACTTGTGCCATGTTTCTTTCTTTCCCAAGCATATTTCTAGGGAGCTAGATCAAGAGCAGAGTAGCAGGAATTCCAACCAACCTCTTAGGTGGGCTGCTAGCATCACAAGAGTTAGGTTAATGTGCTGCAGTGCAACACTGGCCCAACATTTAACATTTTTAAATTTAAGTGCCAGAAGTTACTTCCTCAACTAAGTCTGTCAGAAATTTGTGTAGTTAAATTCTATAGAATTGCCATTTCTGAAATCTTTGGCGCACATGTAAATACTTTTCTCAAGTATTCTTTGAGGGTAGATGTTTTCATATGTGTTATCATATAGAAAAATGTCTATTTTATCTTATTTTACTATATATTATACTGTAATTTCATATAGTGCACATACAATTATGCAAATATAACCATTAAATATTGTGTTTAATATTATATAATAAGTTACATATGTATTTTTTGCTGGGCTGTTCCTAACATGTAGCATGAAAACAGGGGCTGTTATTGAGAATTATGTGATTGCTTATAGCTTTTGTTTGCAATAAAAGTAAAAGTATATTCAATGTATGTTTATATAGCATTAATTCAACTTAGAAATCAACTTCCTAGAAGTTTTTAGCTAATTCTTTGTTTCTATACCATTTGTCCGTATAGCTTCAATTTAATTTAAATGTGAAAAATAATGCATAAATTATTTGTGGCAGTTATCCCATCCCCTCATTGTTTGAAAGTTTGGTTGAAGGTTCCACTGCAGATACTGAGTTACCAAAGCAGCTGTACCGAAGCTATTGGTGATTTTCAGTTACTTTATTAAATGCGGTTGATAACTGAGATTTTTTTGGGAATTACTCGTATGCCCTGTTTCTGAGGACTGAGAAAAGGTGCATTGATGCTAAGAGTCTGAGGTGCTGGTTAGGAACAGATTCACGTGTCTCCTGACTGTTTTTTTGGTTTTCATCAGCTTACTGCCTTGGTGATTACACTGATTTTTCTTTGTTAGCCAGTTATAAGAACTCATTGTATCTTGTCTTGTTATTTGGTAATGATGTGTTTATACGAAGAGAATCATAAAATAATTAGCTTTCACTGTGGTGTTAGAAGTATTTCAGTTTGAATATGAAAATGGGAAAACTACAGAAAGAAAAGCCATTATAGCTGTTAACACATAGGAACTTGTGTATGCCACCTAATTTTGGCAGTCTCTGCTCAGTGCTTGAGTTTATCAGTTGTACAATGGAAACTGAATGAGCTTAGTTCAAATATTAAAATCTTTTTCTTCAGAAGAAGACTTCCAGTCTTTTTTTCTCCCTTTCTTTCAGTATTCACGTGATTGAACGGCGTGCTCTTCCAGAGTTTTTCAATGGAAAGAATAAATCCAAGACTCCAGAAATGTGAGACCGGTGTTTTAGAAAACTTGCTATTTTGTGTGTAAATCGCAAAGGTTGTTAGAGGACACTGTCATGAGTTTATTGCTTCTGGGGTTTAGACATTTGCACAGATTCCATTTCGAACTATGTGTATAATTTTTCAGAGTTCTTTGCATCAGTGGAAATGGCATATTTGTCCCTGTTAAAGCTTACAATATAAATACATCAGCTGGTGGAATTAAAGATTAAATTCTGTAATGGGTGATAACTGAGACATATTCAGGATTCTCCTAACAGCTCCTAATGTGTTATGGATTGTATGCAATCATGCATAATGACCCAGGAGAAAATTAAGTCATTATCTTACCTACCTAAAGTGTGACTACTGATTAAGTCAGTGTAGTATGGCTGAAGAATACAGCAAGATTTACTTGATTTTTTAAATTTTATTTTTATTGGAAAGTCACATTTACAGAGACAAGCACAGACAGAAAGGTCTTCCATTTGATGGTTCACTCTCCAAGTGGCCACAAAGGTCCAAGCTGAGACATTCCGTAATTAGAAGCCTGCAGTTTTTTCCAGGTCTCCTTCATGGGTACAGGGGGTGCAGGGTCCCAAGGGTTTGGGTTGTCCTTGCCTGCTTTCCCTAGCCACAAGCAGGGAGCTGGATGGGAAGGGAAGTGAAGCAACTGGATACAAACTGGGACCCATATGGGATCCTAAATGTATAAGGCGAGGACTTTAGCCGCTGGGCTACCGTGCTAGATCCAGTTTACCTAATTTCATTATGCTTTTTTGTGCTTTTACATTGAAAATGGGACTTTTTATTAGAAGGTAGAAATTTGCCTGAAAGTTAGTATTTTTTTTATGATCGCTTAGTTTACATAACTGTAAGCTTCTCTTCCTAAGTTCCTAACTATCATGATATAAGTAGTATCTGTGATATTTATGTGTTACTCTTCCTTTTTGTATCTGACTGCATAAATAGATGTCCCATGATCAAACTAAGGGAGAATCAACCTCTAGTTTTCTACATGAAACATTGTGATGAAAATGGAAAATTAATTAGTAAATATGAACTGATAGTAGTTTGTCCACGGTAGTTTCAGTTTACATATCAAAGATCATTTTTTAATTTACTTCAAACCAGAATCACAGATTTGGCTAAGCAAGCCATTCAGCTCTTTTGCTTATTTCTAAAACTTTTAACTATTTAAAAGTTTTGGTTATTTTCTGTTTAAAAGCACCATTTTATGGATTAACCCCTTTGACTTTGTGACTTCATCTTCTTTTCTGTGTTCACCCACTTGTGTTTATTCCAGAGGATAGATGTTATTTTTTGTTCTTTTGAAAGTGATTTCAAATTACTTCATTGTATTCAATGTCAAAAGCTGTTGTTAGACTGAAAATCCTTTGCTCTGGATTTTGAAATCTGTTCTGGCAGAATGGTTTAGTACAGCTTGAATTTTTCTTTCTTTGTGTGTTCATGTCTTCCCTTTGAATATGGCTTCCGCTTGTTGCTTTAGTAGCTAGAATCTGCTTAAAAAACTGTGGATAAGATATATCACAAGAATTCATAACCATAGTAGATCCTCATGTTTCTTTATGGGAGACTGTACGAACGAGATGGAGCAGAGGATAAAAGCGTAAGTGCCAGAACCTCCACACTGCCTTTGTTCCTTTTTGCTGCACCACTTAGCAATCCATTGATGTGAAAGAAATGCTTTATCAACCATACTTCAGTCTCTCATCTGAAAATGGGAGGGAAATAGACTCTACCTTACAGAGAGATTATGGGGAACATAGTATAGGTTTTGCTTAGAACAGTGCTTGGCATGTAATAAATGCTTGGGAGAGTACTCATCATCTATGCTAGTAGTAACTCTTGTAGGCAGTCATAAATTTATCTCTTCACCTGCAGGACCAAGTTTGCACTTAGGTTACTTAATGCTAAGATTGTCAGATACCTCTGATGTAAGTTAACGGTTGGTTTGTGTGCTAAAGGTTCTGACTTCTGTCAGTACTGAATATTCAGTACTTTATATATCTATTTGTTGAATTTTTGTCCCTGTTACTGTTTCTGAAATGATGCATGTCTCTCTGCCTTATGAATTCTGCCGTTCATTTTCAGATACTTGGCATATAGAAATTTTATGATTGACACATACCGCCTAAATCCCCAAGAATACTTAACCAGCACTGCATGTCGGAGGAATTTGACTGGAGATGTATGTGCTGTGATGAGGTATGATTATGGCTTCATTTTAGGTTACCAGTGATAGTTACTTAGGCATTGCTGCTGTTTTGTTTTGTTTTGTTTTGTTTTGTTTTGTTTTGTTTTGTTTTGTTTTGTTTTGTTTTGTTTTGGGTGATGTATACATAGTTGCTCAAGATGGGAAGGGTCAAGAATTAGGGCAAGGTGGGTGAAACCATTGTTTCCTCATTTTATTCCCTCTGTATATGGGGTAAAGGGAGAGATAAGATGAGAAGCTACACCCAACCTCCCAACTGCCTCAGTACCCCTGAATGGGAATGGCCACACAATGTCCCAGATTTCCTGATATTGATGGAGCATGCTCCAAGGGTTCTATTCAAGTGGTTTTTGTAGTTGTGACATGCTGTTGATTTCGCCGATCCAAGGATGAGGAAATCCTTCCAAGGTCCATTGAGTGACAGAGTCCACCTTAGAATTTCCATTTTCCCAGATATTTGTTGTCAATACTTAGCTGAAGTATAAATCAATTTATTCTGCTCTCCTTCCTCTGCTATGGTACCTGATGTTCTTTGCAGACCCTAATGGACTACCATATCCTCCATGTGCATTTGGGAAAGGCATTGTTATTTAATGTTTGATTAAACTGTATGTTTTCTTGCTGGCGCCTATCTTTCAGTGTTCATTTTCCAGATTTTACAGTTTACATATTCAATTTTATAGTCAGATACTTGATGGTGATCCACATTTGCAAAGAACATGTTTAGCTGGTTTGTTTGTTTTTTGTGATAGGATGATGGTTACACAGAACATATGGTTGATTCTCTAGATTTTAACTTCAGCGGTTTATTTCCCTTTAGGGTTCATGCCTTTTTAGAGCAGTGGGGACTCGTTAATTACCAAGTTGACCCAGAAAGCCGACCTATGGCAATGGGGCCTCCTCCAACTCCTCACTTCAATGTGTTAGCTGATACTCCCTCAGGGCTTGTGCCTCTGCACCTTCGATCACCTCAGGTAAATTCCTTTGGCCCCAAGTGGTAACTGGATTACTCCTTAGAGCACTCTTGTTCAAAAACAGTGATTGTAATGTTAGAGTATCACTGGTAGTGTTGCTTCTTAGCTGAAGGTTTTTGTGTGTGTGTGAATTCCCTTTTCCTGTTGCAAATAATGAGTGCATAGAATCTATGGACTACATTAAATGAGTCTTAATGGGCTCAAAAGTGTGCCTTAATCCATCAAATTACAAATTTATTTCTTATATATGTTAACTTCTTTATCCTTCTGTTCTCAGACATGGATAAACAAACAGATTACACAAAATCACTTTCCACTGTCTTTAACCTGTGTCCACAAAACGTGGACTACAAAATCTTCATCTCTAAAGTAAAAATTTGGAAAAATCAGTTTCTGCAGATGCAAAGTTGTAAAGACTTATTATTATATCAAGTAGAGTGTATATAGCCTTGTATTGAAACCTAAGCTCAAAATCTCCAGCTCGAAATAAAAGAGTATTTTAAAGAATGTTTATTGTTTTGTATTGTTTCTGTGAGTTAAAGAGGCACCAAAAATGTTTCTAAATAGTATGGAGTTATGAATATTTTTCTTTTTTGGTGGATTTTTATCTGTTTTGTAGAAAAAGTGCAAAGAGTGATTTAAGTGCTGATATTACCGTTTTAATAACTTTGATCCTCTTTACTTTGAAGAGGCTAATATAACTATTTATCATTTTTTGACTCATAGATCCCTGCTGCTCAGCAGATGTTAAATTTCCCCGAGAAGAACAAGGAAAAACCAATTGATTTGCAGAATTTTGGTCTTCGTACTGACATTTACTCCAAGAAGACATTAGCAAAGGTAAGGAATTTTCTAAGCATACCTGCTGGATTCTAGTCTAGCATGTCTTTCTAAGATGCGTAAATTTCTTTAGGAAGTGTAATTTCTTTTTATTGTTTGAAATTTATTTATTTGAAAGTGACGGGAAGAAAAGGTGAGTATGCACATGTGAGCTCTCCGTTTGCTGGTTCACTCCCAAGAACTTGGGCCCTCCTTCACTGCCTTCCCAAGCCACACGCAGGGAGGTGCAATGAAAGTGGAGCTGCTGGTACGCGAACTGGTGCTCACATGAGAATCCCGTGAATGCAAACGAGTACCTCAGCAGCTTGGCTAGAGTGCTGGGCCTGTCCTCCCCACCTTTTAAGGATGACTTATGTGAGAGAATTACTGAGAGATAGGAAGAGACACTTTTCCCACTGGTTCACTTCCCAAGTGGTAGTAATGGCTTGGGCAAAGCTAAGTGAAAGCCGTGAGCAAGGAGTTGATAATATTTGGGGATCTCAAAAGTAGCCGTTTCCTTCTGCTTTAATATAGTTAGGTTATGTTATTATAAATGTTGTAATTTTTAGAAACTTAAAAAAAGTATGGACTCAGGGCAACTAATTATAGCTTAAATAATTTATGTTTTGTTTCAAAAATTTTTTCAATTTGAAAGTTTACAGAGAGAAAAAAAGGAAACACAGATCTTCCATTTTCAGATGACTATAATGATCAGAGCTGCTCCCTTTTGAAGCCAGGAGCCTGGAGTTTCTTCCATCTCTCACTTGGGTGTAGGGACTCAACGACCTGGATTAACTGACGCTACTTTCCCAGAACATTATAAGGGAGCTGGATTGAAGTGTAGCAGGTTTCAAGCTGGCACCCATGTGGCTTAACCTACGTCACCATGGTGGCAGCCCCACAAGGAAACTAATTTTGTTTTTTAAGGTTTATGTATATTTATTGGGAAGGCAGGTTAGATTTACCAAGAGAAAGAGAGACAAAGATATTTCATCTGTTCATTTATTTCCCGAATGTTCATGAGTTCTTGATTAACATCAGGAAATCTTTGAAATAATGTTTTTTGGGTTTTTAAATTCTCATTATTTAGGGCTTTAGGTAGGTGATTTGCATGAAATGATCCCTGAAAAACTACTTTGTAAAAAGAAATTCCTTTAAAAGAAGTGATTGCTGCTGAGCTCTGTCCATACTGTCCTTTTTTCTTTTTTAAGATTTATTTATGGGCCCAGCGCGGTGGCGCAAGTGGTTAACGTCCTCGCCTTGCACGCCCAGGATCCCATATGGGCGCCGGTTCTAATCCCGGCAGCCCCGCTTCCCTTCCAGCTCCCTGCCTGTGGCCCGGGAAAGCAGTCGAGGACAGCCCAAAGCTTTGGGACCCTGCACCCGCGTGGGAGACCCGGAAGAGGCTCCTGGCTTCGGATCAGCATAGCATCGGCCGTTGTGGCCGCCTGGGGAGTGAATCATCGGACGAGTCAGATATACAGAGAGGAGGAGAGACAGAGAGAAAGATCTTCCATCCGATGATTCACTCCCCAAGTGAGCTCAATGGCCAGTGCTGTGCTGATCCAAAGCCAGGAGCCAGAAACTTCTTCTGGGCATCCCACACGATTGCAGGGTCCTAAAGCTTTGAGTTGTCCTCGACTGCTTTCCCAGGCCACAAGCAGGGAGCTGAATGGGAAGTGGAACTGCCGGGATTAGAACTGGCGTCCATATGGGATCCAGGTGCATTTAGCCACTAGGCTATGGCGCTGGGCCCAATACTGTCTTTTAGTGATGAAATGATTAATAATGATTTTGTTTCTTTAGAGTAAAGGTGCTAGTGCTGGAAGAGAATGGACAGAACAGGAGACTCTGCTACTCCTGGAGGTAAGTGGATAAATAGTGAAACTACTTCATCCATGCTTGGAATATGTATCTGAAGTATTCACTTTGAAATGTCTATAGTTGAGTTTACAACTTTAACATTGGTACAAGTGCTTTTCCTTTAGTAAGTCATTGAGATTCAGTATTTGATATCTTGTTCTTTCATGTGTCTTGCACTTCATAGCATCAGATATTAGAAACATCTGTACTTTGCTTTTGGACTATAAATTTATAATTTTTAAAGTTCTTTTATAAGAACATTTAAGTAAATGGCTTTTTTGTTATTCTAGCATTGAAGAAATGATTACTGAAATGGTTGGGTGTTACTACTTGTGTTAGTACTAAGATATATCTACTACATAAATATATATACCAGTTTTGATGGCAAATATCAACATAATAAAATAGGCCATGTTACGTTAGGACAGTCAGCTCTATGGATCTGTATGCTTCTTCAGAGTCTGGTGCTTGCTGGGTCATCAGACTCTACCTGGAGAGTCTGGGAGCCTGGTGGGATTTGGTTCCTGTATTGCTCCTATTCAAATTATTTTTTTGTTTCTTTTCCTAAATAAAAATTAACTAATTAGTTATTAATTAATTATAAATAATTACAGAAAGAGAGGTGCAGAGAGAAAGATCTTCTCTGATGGTTCATTCCTCAGATGGGCACAACTGCCAGGATTGAATCAGTTTGAAGCCAGGAAATTCATCCTGGTCTGCCATATGGATGCAGCGCCCCCAAACACTTGGCCCATGCATTATCTCCTGCTTTTCCCAAGCATATTGGATGCTGGAACTGAGGTAGTTAATTATTCCACACCACAACTGCAGCTCCCCAGTTTAAATTCTGAAGTTTTTAAAATAATTGTTGAGTGAGTGAGAGAGAGAGAGAGAGACAGTGTGTGTGCATGTGTGTGTTTTAGAAGTTTTGGTAGTATATTAAATTTTTCCCTTTACTTTTTTATTATATATTTAATTTTTTATTATATCCTTTTCAACTTCTTATGTTCTCTCCTCTGTCTTCTTTATGATCAGAATTTAAAATAACTTGTGTAGAGTTTTTGCCACCAAGTTAACTTGTTCTCTTTTACCTATTCAATATCGATGATACGGAGACAGCTTCTTTTTCTGACATATTTTGTATTTATTTAATGACTGTTTTGTTTAGCCAGATCTGTCATGGGTGATTGTTGTTAATGTGTGTGAAGGAATAAAACATGCTTTAGTATTCCTGTTTTTTAAAATTGGGCTTTGAATGGGGGAGATTAGTCATACAGTAGTAACTGAAAACAACGAATCTTTGTCTTGCTCTTTGGTGCTCAAAATTTGCTCTTTTTTCCATTTAAGATTTGTGGATAGTAAACAGAATAGGATAAGAATAATTGTGACCTGGTGTTTAACCATAGCACTCCTTCACAATAGTGCCTTTTATCTCATGCAGGTGGAATCTGTGCAGTAGTTGCCATTTCCTTCAGTCATACAATTGATTCAACAGGTGTTGCATGTATTTACACAAACAGTAATAAGAGGTTTCCTCACAACATTATTAACCATTAACATCTTTCATTTCTATGTTTATTTAGAACAATTAATATGAGAGGAGAATTTTTAATTGTTGTAAAACAAGGAACAAATTTCAATTTTCCTTTGATAGATGGATGGATAAATCCAGTATACTCATTGAGGTCCATTGTTTCCAGTAAGGCATCTTAATATCTTCTTAGAAAACTATATCATGTAGGCATCATTGCAGATGTTTCTGATCTTCAGAACATGTTAAATTTTTTTCTTTTCCTTTTTTTTTTTTTTTTTTTTATTTTAAAGGTAGAGTTAGGGAGCAAGAGATCTTCCATCTGTTGGTTCCTTCCATGCTTGGCTGCAACTCTTGGCTGTACCAGGCTGAATTCCCAAACCAGGGCTCAATCCAGGCCTTCCTCTTGCTCCCCACCCCCAGGAGCAGGGGTCCCATTACTTAGATCCTTCTCTGCTGCTCATCCAGGCATCAGCAGAGAGCTGGGTCAAAGTGGGGGCAGCCGTGACTCAAACTCATGCCCATATGGGATGCCAGCATTGGATGCTGTTAGGTTAAATTAATGCACCACAGTACTGGACCTGAGACCATCTATTTTTATGTCTTTAATAAATAAATAAGAACAACTTTCTTTTATTTCAAACACAGATTCTAAACATTGTTTTATTTTACAAATGCCCTTAACAGGTGTGGCTGCTCCCGTTGAATCCAGGATCCTAGATCTCAGTCAGTTGTCTTTCTTGGGATTGACAGGAACCCAACTACTTGAGGCATCCTTGCCTACCGGTCAGGGTGGTCATCTGGAACATGTATCTAGTGCTTGTCAGCATAGAATCTAGGCATCCCAAGAAGTGCCTTAATTGTTGCACCAAATATTCCCTCTCCTACCCCACCCCCTTTTTCTTAAAGATTTATTTCTTTTTGATTGGTAAGTCAGAGATATAGAGAGAGGAGGAGAGACAAAGACGAAGTTCTTCCGTCAGATGATTCACTCCCTAAGTGAGCGCAACAGCTGGTGCTGCAATGATCCAAAGCCAGGATCCAGGAACTTCCTCTGGGTCTCCCATGTGGGTGCAGGGTCCCAAGGCATTGTGCCGTCCTCAGCTGCTTTCATGAGGCCACAACCAAGGAGCTGTATGGGAGGTGGAGCTTCCAGGATTAGAACCAGTACGCATATGCGATCCCAGTGAGTACTTTAGCCGCTAGGCCATCCACACCGGCTCCCCCCCACCCCCCTTTTTTAAAGATTTATTTATATTAGGAAGCCACATCCACGGAGCAAGCTTTTTTTGGTCCACTTATTCATTCCCCAAGTGGCCACTTGGCTGGAGGTGAGTGGATCTGCAGTCAGGAGCCAGGAACCTCCTCTGGGTATCTGTCGCACATGGGTGCAGAGTCCCAAGGCCCTGGGCTGTCCTTCACTGTACTCTCAGGCCACAAGCTGGGAGCTGGATGGAAAATGGATCAGCAAGGACACTAACCATTGCCCACTTGTGATCTTGGTGGTGCATGCTAGGTGAAGGCTTGGCCACAATGCTATTGCACTGGGCAACTCTCCCTAATTTTTAAAATACTATATGTGATAAGATGTTTTATTAATGCATAGCTCTTATGTCTCTTCTATCATTTTGAGGGGCAGTACATTTGTCCATAATCCACTACTTTCTCAAGACAGCGGCAGAGCAGCCAGGATTCTGAAAAAGCTGTTTCTTAAGTCATGGCTTGAACCACTGTGCCACAATACCTGTATGTTTGCTTTTCCAAAATTTACTGTGGGCTGATGTGATAAATGCTCTTCAAATACCTGTGTCCTGTATCAGAATGCTTGGGTTTGGGCCCAGCGCAATAGCGTAGTGATTAAACTCCTCGTCTTGCACACGCTGGGATCCCACATGGGCACTGGTTCATGTCCCGGCTGCTGCATTTCCCATCCAGCTCCCTGCTTGTGGCCTGGGAAAGCAGTCGAGGACAGCGCTGAGCCTTGGGACCCTGCATTCACGTGGGAGACCTGGAGGAAGTTCCTGGCTTCAATTGTCACAGCACCGGCCGTTGCAGTCACTTGGGGTGTGAATCATCGGATGGAAGATCTTTCCTCTCTCTCTCTCCTCTTGTCTATATATCTACCTTTCCAATAAAAAACAAAAAACAAACAAACAAAAAACTTAAAAAGAATGCTTGGGTTTGAATCCCACTTTCATCCAGTTCTAATCTGTCAATGTGTGCTGTGTGATATAGAAGGTGATGAGTCAAGTCGTTGATTCGCTACGATTTCTATGGAAAACTGTTCTTGGCTCTAGCCTGGGCTGTGGCAGGCATTTGGGATGGCCGCATTTCCTAATATGTAAGAGGTTAACAACAACAAAGATGTGTTCACTGATCTTTTCATGCTATGTCCAAATTACAACCCCTGAACTTGAGATTGACAAGACCTGAATCTGCACAGTTACTGAATTTCCTTTGTGAACTTGATTTTATTCTATATGCTTTCTTTCCTTTTTTGAGCAGTGTACTTTTTCACCTTAGATATTGATGGGTATAAAATGCTATATTTTAAGATAAAATCCGTGTTATTAATGTTTGTGTTAGAAGAATTTCTTTCTTGTTAATGAGCTGATTTATTGAGATAGTAACACTAAGTGATGCACACTAAAGAGCAGCAAGCTATTTTTTTTAAGATTTATTTTTATTGGAAAGGCGGATATACAGAGAGGAGGAGAGACAGAGAGAGAGGAAGATCTTCTGTCTGATGGTTCACTCCCCAAATGGCTGTCATGGCTGAAACTGAGCCAATCCGAAGCCAGGAGCTCTTCTGGATCTCCCATGTAGGTGCAGGGAGCAAGCTATTTCTTGTGTGAATGCACTTGAACAGCAGTCCAGGAAGTTTTCCTATTTACTTTCGAGCTACACTTTATGTGACTTAAGTCTTGTACCAGGTTATTTCAAATTGTTTATGGGAAAGGAAAATTAAACAGTTATACATGTTTTCCTAGAACCACTTGCAGACAATTCTGTTTAAAAAACATAAGTCTATCTTCAGGAAAAGTCATTTTTAAAATAGAATGACTTTCACAGGATGTAGTAAAGAAACCGCATTTTCCTATCAACATACTATTAATCAATTCCATGTCAGTTAATGCCATAAGTTTGTAAATGGCTGTTGATGTTATGTTCGGGCTTTTAATTGATTGGGATGGTAATTTGCTGGCTTTACCTTGGGACCAGAGATGGTCTCACCAACAAATTGTTGAACCCACTAGGATATTGAGACACTGGACGTTATGCTTGGTAATTCTTCCAATGAAAGAACCTCAACTGAATTTGAACTGTGGCAACACAGCAAGGTGGAGAAATCCACCATGAGAAGAGGGTTCGGGGAGGGGTTGGGGGGAATCCCAGTGCCCATAACACTGTGTCACATAATGCAATGCAATTAATTTAAAGCAAATAGAATGACTTTTTAGTTTGAGAGCCTTGAAATTACTTTCCCAGTTTAGTAGTACTGTTTCCTGTAATTAGCATTCAATAAATCAACTAGGTCTTGCTTTTAAGGTACTGTAAGAGACATTCAGATTAAAGAAGAGGACACTGTCCCTGCCGTTATGGAGTTGATAATCTGTTGAATGACAGACACAGATGCAAAACAAAGAACAAATACAGTGTTCCTATCTTCATAAGACTCTGCAGCATAAGAAATGCATAGAGGACTTCCTGTACAGATGGGTTGGGTGGGTAAGATATGTGGGCCACTTTCTGAGAGTGTATACCTCTGCTGATTCCAATACCTTGTGATTCTGGAACAGCATAAACTAGACTAGCATGACATCCAGGTGTCATGGGATCTTATATTCCTGAAATGTAAGGAGTGATGGAAGAAGTAGACAGTTTTGATTGCATTTAACATTAATTCCGTGATGTCATTAAAGAACAATGTAAGCATTTCAGTCAGGAGACTGAAAGTATTTTATGTGAAATTTATTTCATGCTGTCATCAGAAGCAGTAGTGAATTTAAGAAAGAAGGGCCTGGTGTGATACCTTGTGGCTAAATCCTTGCTTTGTACGCATTGGGATCCATTTGGGTCTCAGTTCATGTCCCAGATGCTTCACTTCCCATGCAGCTCCCTGCTTGTGGCCTGGGAAAGCAGTCGAGGACAGCCTAAAACCTTGGGACCCGGCATCTGCATGAGAAACCCAGAGCAAGCTCCTGGCTGGCTTCAGATTGGCTCAGCTCTGGGGGTGAACTAGTTGGCTGAAACATTTCTGTCTCTCCTCTCTGTGTATCTGCCCTTCTCATGAAAATAAATCTTGGGACATGGTGTAGTTGCCTAGTAGCTAAAATCCTTGCCTTGCATGTGCTGGGATCTCATAGAGATATTGGTTCATTTCCTGGCTGATCCACTTCGTTCCAGCTCCTTTCTTTTTTTTTTTTTTTTTAAGATTTATTTTTATTATTTTTTTATTGGAAAGGCAGATATACAGAGAGGAGAGACAGAGAGGAAGATCTTCGTCCGATGATTCACTCCCCAAGTGAGCGCAACGGGCCGATACTATGCCGATCCGAAGCCAGGAGCCTCTTCTGGGTCTCCCACACGGGTGCAGGGTCCCAAAGCTTTGGGCTTTCCCAGGCCACAGGCAGGGAGCTGGAAGGGAAGCGGGGCTGCCGGGATTAGAACCGGCGCCCATATGGGATCCCGGGCGTGCAAGGCGAGGACCTTTAACCACTTGCGCCACTGCGCCGGGCCCTCCAGCTCCTTTCTTTTGGCCTGGGAAAGCAATCGAGGACAAGCCAAAGCTTTGGGACCCTGTTCCCCAGTAGGAAACCCAGGCTCCTGGCTTTGGATCAGATAAGCTCCAGAGGTTGCAGCCACTTATGGAGTGAAGCACCAGTTAGAAGATCTTTTCTCTCTGCCTTACATTTTTGCTATTAGCATTAGGCTTTACTGTTGCATGGCATGGAGTTTGTTTCTCAAAGGGTTGCTCTCACAGCTTTTTTCATGTTGGGGAAAATGTTATATGTTAGTTTCATTTTTTGGGTTGGGAAGTCAAATTTACAGAGAGAAGGATAGGCAGAGAGATAGATGCTCAATTAACTGGTTCACTCCCCAAGTGGCTGCTGCAGTGGGACCTGAGCCAGTCCAGAGCCAGAATGTTCCTCCAGGTCTCCCGTGTGGGTTCAGGATCCCAAGTCCGTGGGCCTCTTGCACTGCCTTCCCAAGTGCCCAGCAGGAAGCCGGAAGGGAATTGAAACCAGTGACACAAATCAGCACTCACATGGAATCCCAGTGCATCCAAGGCCAGTACTATAGCCACTAGAGTATCCTTCTGGGCCCAAGAATATAAACATTTTTAAGTAGCACGTTTATTGCCAGAGGGTTTTAATTGAGTATGTAAAATAAGTTCCTGTCCTATTAAGAAAGTTCAGATAGCCCCAGGAGCCTCCTGTGTGTCTCCCATGTGGGTACAGGGTCCCAAGGCTTTGGGCCATCCTCAGCTGCTTTCCCAGGCTACAGGCAATGAGCTAGGTGGGAAGTAGGGCCGCTGGGACTAGAACCAACCCCCTTGTGGGACTTTAGCCACTAGACTACCATGCTCAGCTTATGAGTGTTCTTTTTAAGAAATCTCCTTCTAGAAGTACTTGAGGTCACCTCACCAAATACCCAGAGGAGACTCAGGATTGTCTTCCTTTCCTTGTATATTAAATGAGCGAAACCTATTTCTGGATAGTGTTTTGAGAAGTTCTCTGCTACCTCAGTGACAATGAAAGGGTTTTTTAACAGCTTTTGGAACTCATAATTCAAAGTGTCTGGGTAAGTAAACATGGTCAGAATTGATTTTTCTAGGGAGCTCATCTCTCAGAGTGGATCTGTAAGTTAGGATCTGGTGCAAAGGTTTTCAAGCCTGTTACTGGTAGCATTTGAGTCAGAATTTTTTGTGGGGAGAGGTCAGAGCTCCTATGTGAATGGTAGGAAATTGGATGATTATCCAATGGCCTCTGTTAACATCCCTGTTTTGTCAATAGGAAATGTCTCATGTTATCATTGTGCTTCAGAAGGTAGCCTTACCCCAGTTTTGAGATTGGTCACTGTAGTAATCCATTAAATATATGTGTTTTGGTTTTTTGTTTGTTTGTTTTTGGTACCAATTAATTCTGTGACTTTCTTTGTACCACTTAATTTTGCTTGTCTTTCTAGAATTCTGCCCTTCTTCCCCTTGCAGACAACTTTTTCTCTTTTTTTGTTGGAGTGCTTAAAAATTTTCGCTGGAAAACTAATATATTCTTATCCTATCAATTTGTATAGTTTTTAAATTTCGGAATCTATATTGATTTTTCTAAAAAGCCCGTTTGGAATTTGAAACAGATTGTGGTGTGTATGTAGTTCAACCTGAAAAGAATTGATGTCTAGTGTTGGTAGTGTGAATAAATGAACACCCCATATCTTCTGATTGTTTAGTTCTTTCTGTTGTTGCACTGTGTTCTATTTTCCCAGCATATTGACTGGTTTTTAAAGATTTGTCTTTATTTGAATGGCTTAGTAACGTAGTTAAGATCATCCATCTTCTGCTTCATTAAAATGGCCCCAAAAAGCCAGAGCTGGGCCAGGCTGACACCAGAAGCCAAGAATTTCATCCAGGTTTCTTGTGTGGGTGGCTGTTGCCTGGTCCTTGGGCTATATTTTGCCTTGTCCAGGTCATTGGCAGCTGGTCGATTTGGAAGCAGAATGGCAGAGATATGAATTGCACTCTGATATAGAATGCTGGCATCTGAAATATTTTGTTATATATATTTCTTTTTATACACTTATAAATATTTATTTTTATTTGAAAGGCAGATTTACAGAGAGAAGGAAGGTCAGAGACAAAGATTTTTCATCTACTTGTTCATTCCTCAAGCTGTCACAGTGGCCAGATGTGAGCCACTCTGAAGCCAGGAGCCAGGAACTTCTGCCGGGTCTCCCGTGCAGGTGCAGGATCCCAAGGCTTTGGATCATCCTTGTTTGCTTTCCAGACCACAAGCAGGGTGCTTGGGTGGGAAGTAGAGAAACCAAGATAGGAACTGGTGCCTATACAGGATCCCAGCATTTATAGGCGCAAGAGTAGCAAGTTGAGCCTTCACCCTAGCACCTATATTTCTTAATTTTCTTGGCTGTTTTAAATATTAAAATTTCCCATTGCTGTTATATATAGAAATATAATATTTTTCTGTTGCTCTTTTATTATATAAGTAGCTCAATTGTTTATGTCTGTCACCTTTTTTGTAGCTTCCATAACATTCTTTATAATCATGTCAGTTTTAGTAGAAATTGGTGTTATTGAAAAATAAAAAAAACTGCTAAAGAACAGTCACAGGCTTCTAAAGTTGCTACATATTATTTCATTGTTCCCTGATTGTAAAGCTCCATGTTTGCTTTTTTTTCTGTTTTAGGCCCTGGAGATGTATAAAGATGACTGGAACAAAGTGTCGGAGCATGTTGGAAGTCGCACTCAGGATGAGTGCATTCTCCACTTCTTGAGGCTTCCCATTGAAGACCCCTACCTTGAAAACTCTGATGCTTCTTTGGGGCCTCTGGCCTACCAGCCTGTCCCCTTCAGTCAGTCGGGAAATCCAGTGATGAGCACTGTGGCATTTTTGGCATCTGTGGTGGATCCTCGTGTGGCATCTGCTGCAGCAAAAGCAGCTTTGGGTACGGACCTCCCAAGCCATTTCTATAAAAGATGAACACACTTTTTTCTAAATGTGCCTCTAAAGATTTTTTTTTACTTACTTGAAAGGCCAAGTTACAGAGAATTTGATCTTAAATTTAAATGTTGTCAGCTGTTACGAGCATTGATATTTATTTTTTAACTTCAAAATTGACAACTTTAAGAATTGGAGGAACATACAGATATTTTATATGGTATATTTTGTGATTAATTTGGAATTTGCTATAACCATGTCATGTAATATTTTTCTGTTAATATTATTAGACCTTGCTTGCAGTATGCAAGTCATCCTTGCTTTGCTTCGTTTCTTGAGTATCAATCTAGGCACCTAGAGTTAGGTAAATATTAGGACTGTAATTTTGATTGTTAACTGGCAGTTTGCTGAGGAAGAGATTATAATATTTAGGGGAAAAGAAACTCCCAGACTCATGGAATTTCATTATTGTTCATTTCATCTGGCTACTTGTTTTGCAAGAAACTGAGTACCTCTGGGATCACTACATAGCCCACAGAATAAAATATTCTCCTATTTGCTATTGATTTTACCTTGAAAGCAACATTTGTGCAGAAGGTCATTTTTATTCCATTTTTGTTCTTGAATCAGAGGAGTTTTCTCGCGTTCGGGAAGAGGTACCACTGGAATTGGTTGAAGCTCATGTCAAAAAAGTACAGGAGGCAGCCCGTGTCTCTGGGAAGGTAGATCCCACCTATGGCCTGGAGAGCAGCTGTATTGCGGGCACGGGGCCTGAAGAACCCGAGAAGCTGGGTGAGTCACAGGGCAAACATGCATCGTTGCCTATCTGCATAAAATGATGAAAATTAATTTGTCTTTTAAGTTCAGTGTATGAGTTTTTTCCCTTCATTTCCTTCATGGTGTCTAGGACTAGAAAAACTACCCCATGTCTATTGGTCAGTTTTAGATGTTGGTTTTTACTGGAGATTAGCTTAATTTACATGTTGCTGAATGGCTTTGACCATTGCTCTTTGTGTGTGAATGTGTGTTTGAGGTAAAATTCTTTGGATATAAATTCCAAGTGTTTTACCACTTCAAGTTATATAATCCAGTAACCTCTAGGATATTCACATATTGTGTATCTGTCACCAGAATGTCATTACCCCAAGGAAATCTTCAAACTGTTGTGTGTAGTCTCTCTTCCCATTTCTTTGTCTTGGTTGTGGAAAGGTGTTGCTTTCTATACCGCTCTGAACATTTCATATACATGAAATCATGCCATATCTGACCTTTGTTTCTGGCTTCTTTCACTTAGCATGTTTTCAATGGTCCTCAACCTTATAACCTTATTCTGTGCAGAATAATTGTATTACATTCTTTCTGGTTATTCATTGGTTCATGGCTGATGTGTCCTTCCCACTTTTATCCTGTTGTCACAGATGATGCTACGAATATTTGTAGTGACTAGAGCTTTTCCAATTCTCTTGGGTATGCACTTAGGAAATACCTGATTCATGCATTAATCCTGTGTTAAAATTTTTGTGAAACTGCCGATTCTTTACATAATTACAGAACTATTTTACATTCACATCAGTACTATATGATGTTTCTGATTTCTATATATCCTTGCCAATACTTGTTTCTCATCATTAAAGAAAATAGCCATCTGTTTGGTTTGAAATATTTACGTTGGACCCAGCATGGTAGCCTAGCAGCCAAAATCCTCATCTTGCACGCACCGGGATCCCTTAGGGGTGCTGGTTCATGTCCCGGTGGCCCCCCTTCCCATCCAGCTCCCCTGCTTTGGGCCATTCTCTACTGCTTTCCCAGGCCACAAGCAAGGAGGTGGATGGGAATTAGGGCCTCTGGGACACAAACATGCGGCCAAGTGGGATCCCAGCACTATCAAGACGAGGACTTTATCCATGAGACTTCTGTACTGGGCCCTTAATCTTTCTTTTAAATGTAATAGCCCTTTGTTTATTTGAAAGGAAAATTAGAAAAGGTGTGAGGGAGGGAGGGAAAGTTTTTTAATCCACTAATTCACTCTCTAAAAGGCCACAGCATCTAGGTTTATTATAGGCTGAAGCAAGCATCTTTGATCTCCTATTTAGTTTTCAAAGAAATTTTCTATCCACTCACTCACTCACGCATTCACTCACTCACCAGATGGTTACAATAGCCAGGACCTGGCCAGGCCAGAGCCCAGTATTTCTGCTTTGGTTCCTGCTAGGTGATAGAGACCCATCTTCTGCTGCAGGAGGCTGTGTAGGAAGTGCAGCAGTCCATATGGGATTCTGGTGTTGCAGGCAGTATCTTAACATAGCATACCACAACACCAGTCGTCTCATTTAATCTCATAAAGAAGAAATTTATTGTGGAATTGTGTAAAATGAGCTCCTGGAACTGTATATTTAATGGTTTGAGTAAAATTTGATGTGGTCTCCCTGAGCTTACCAAGGACTTAGCTTCTGTAAGGTTACCATTTACTAGTCACATTTATAGATATGGAGCCTGTTTTGTTTTTTTCTTTGTTTGCTCTAGCCCTCAGAGAGAACTATTGCCCTGATTTTTCTGAATATTGGTTATCAATAGAGGGCCAAGTTTTTGGTTTAAAAAGCAGTCTGAGGTTCTCTGTATTCATTCTTACTCAGAACACTCAGTTATTTTCTTAGATGGAGGTGGAGATGAACAGGCAATGCCGCAGCTCGGCTACTCTTTGTTGGTTATGCACTGCAAAGTTGTGCCAACTTAGTCAGGGATAACCTGGTCCAACTGCATGGTGTATTCTCTGTGGGGTATGAGCAGTTTAATTCACAGCAGTATCTGAAGTAACCTGTCATTTAACTTTTCTCTAGTATAATGTGTACTAACTAGTTGCAGCTACTGAATTTGGATGCTTTTATACTTTACCCAGGACTCTATACTAGGAGGTAATTTAAATATTTCTGAATGAGCTGTGAACAATTAATATTGGGCTGTGACTAATGGAACAAATTGGGAAACAGCAAATGTTTCTCACTTGGGAATTGGCTCAGGCAAATTGAAGTGAGAAGTCAACTGTTTTACCTTTTATACTTAACATAATGAAGGCAAGCTTATTACATAGCACATGGATTTGAAATATAATGAGATAGGATTTTACTAAACAAGGTAATGCTTGGGTAATAAACTGTTGGTAATATTTGTTGTGATACCTAATTTGCCATGCTCTTTCATACATATTGGCAATGGTGAAATTACAGTGTGAGTTTCAGGGTTGTTTATGAAGCATGAAAGGGCTATTAATAGGAATTATTTAGGAAATTTGTATTAGCTTATGAGATAGGCTTTGCTTAGTCTGTTTACTTTGGCTATGGTCATTCACTGAGACATGCTGATTTCTCTAAATTTGTAGACTATTTTATTTATTTCCCCACCCCAAGCCCCCCAGCAGCCTCTTTCTTTCTAGATTATTTCTGTTTCATTTCAAAGAGAAATGGAGAGTTAGCAAAAGAGGGAAAGATTCTTTCATGTGTTGGTTCATTTTTCAAATGCCTACAATCAAAGATCAATCTAGATGCAAAGTAATTACTATTGATACTTGAGATCTTTTGCGTTTAATTAAAAATATTTTTTCGTTCCATGAAAATATAAGGGGAGGGCCCAGCGGCGTGACCTAGCAGCTAAAGTCTTTGTGTTGAGTGTGCCGGGATTCCATATGGGTGCCGGTTCTAATCTTGGCAGCCTCTCTTCCCATCTAGCCCCCTGCTTGTGGCCTGGGAAAGCAGTCGAGGACAACCCAAAGCTTTAGGACCCTGCACCCACGTGGGAGACCTGCATGAAACTTCAGTCTTCTGGGTTTGGATCGGTACAGCTCCAGCTGTTGCGGTCACTTGGGGAGTAAATCATCGGATGGAAGATCTTCCTCTCTGTCTCTCCTGCTCTGTATAGCTGACTTTCCAATAAAAATAAATAAATCTTTAAAAAAAAAATTAGGGGAAATGGAAAAATAAGGCAAAAACGGGAAAAAAAATTAAGTGCTCAAATGCTGTTGGGGGTTTTAACTTTGTTCTGTTTTGCCTGCATTTTACAGGGATAGCCATTTGAATTTCTTTTCAAGAAAATCCTTTGGACAAAACTTTGCATCATTTTTATTCTAAAAGCAAAGAACTTTGTTTTTAGTAGATCTCCTCCAACATAAAAATGTGTGTTAAATTTTTATTTTTAACAATTTATTTAATTTAAAAGAATTACAGATAGAGGAAGATCTTCCATCCACTGGTTCGTTTCACATACGGCTGTTGTGGCCAGAGTTAGGGCCAATTCAAAGGCAGGAGCCCAAGCACCAAGGTTCTCCTATGCCTCTAGTAGGGAGCTGGATCGGAGGAAGAGGATCTGGGACTCAAAGCAGTGTATGTATTGCTGGGGTCTCAGGTGAAGGATCAACTTGCTGCTGCAAAGAACCAGCCCCTGCTGTGTTAAATTTTGAGCCTAAGTCACTGTAAATCTCGGAGCTTGGTTTCTTCGCTGCAGCAGAATGCCAGAAGGAAGGAAAGTTCATAGATGTGCTCTAGTTTTCGTTAACAGAACAGACTCTTTAAAGCCAATGAATTCACTGGCCTGATACCTGTGCTGTCTATCCTCTTCCCTAATTCCTCCCTCAGTCTCTCTCTTATTCCTACTCTCTCCCCACCCCAAACCCCCAGCAGCGTTTTTTTTAAGATTATTTACTTTTATTGTAAAGGCAATAAAAATACAGAGAGGAGGAGAGACAGAGAGGAAGATCTTCCGTCCGATGATTCACTCCCCAAGTGAGTGCAACAGCCGGTACTGCGCCGATCCGAAGCCAGGAGCCAGGAACCTCCTCCAGGTCTCTCACATGGGTGCAGGGTCCCAAGGCTTTGGGCTGTCCTCAACTGCTTTCCCAGGACACAGGCTCGGAGCTGGATGGGAAGTGGAGCTGCAGGAATAGAACCGGCGCCCATATGGGATCCTGGCGCGGTCAAGGCGAGAACTTTAGCCGCTAGACCACGCCGCTGGGCCCTGGCAGAAGCCTCTTTCTTTCTGGATTATTTCTGATCATTTCAAAGAGAAATGGAGAGTTAGCAAAAGAGGGGGAAACTCTTTGATCTGTTGGTTCATTTTTCAAATGCCTACATCATTTGAGTTAGGCTAAACCAAGAAACACTATCCAGGTCTCTCTAAATTTCAGGGACCCCAAAACTTGAGCCATCCTCTGCTTATTTCCAGACTGCACGTTATCAGGAAGCTGTGTTTGTAGCCGAGTGGCTTCCGTTTTAGGCCCTCTGATAAGGAATGTGGACATCTGAGGTGTCAGTTTAAGCTTCTACCCCACAATGCCCTCCCCTGTACTTTGTTATATGTAGTACACAGTTAACAAATTAGAAAATAACACAGGCTCTCCATGGAGCTACAACTGCTCAAGGAAAAAAGGCAAGATGCCACAGACAATTTCAGTGCATTTTTGATATCTGTAAATTAATGGCAACAAATCCTGCACCAAAATTGTTTTTGTGATTTCCTGTATAAGAAGCATTCATAGATGAATGTCAGCATAATCATTTCCTTCAATTCTGTGTGCTGGGTACTTGTGAACAGAGTAAATCCAGATCTACTCTTGTGCTTGTGAACTTTGTTTTTTAAAGGTGTAAAATAGACAGCAGTCTAATCCAGTAAATAGAACTTACAGTGTATAAACCCTATTTAAATACATCAAGTGTTTACGCAAGTGCTATGGTGAAATATGAAGCATGGATGGGAAAGATATGAGTTAAGTGTCAGGAATTGCAAGTTCAAAAGATGAAGGAATA